ATGACTAGAAAACACAGAAAGGAAAAAGGCAATTGAAAAGAATATGTGCAATGGTTCTCAAAGAGGAGACCTTATGTCCTCGGTGAAAACTTGAATTTTCTTTTACCTTACATCTCTTTGGTTTAGGGTCTATGGGGTAACATTATTTCAGTTATTTCTCTCAGTGATACATGCACATTTAAAATTAAATAATCCATTCTGAAGTAATTTTAAAATTTTTATACATCTTCTTTTGTAAAGATATTAAAAGTTAAAGATCCCTAGCTGGGTAGTTCAGTTGGTGAGAGCATTGTCCCCATACACCAAGGTTTCGGGTTTGATCCCAGGTCAGGGCACATACAAGAAGCAAACAGTTAATGCATAAATAAGGTGAACAACAAATCTCTCTGTCTCTTGCTACCTACCTACCTCTCTCTCTTTCTCAAATCAAATTTTTAAAAAAAGCTAAAGCTAAAAATACAATTGTTCCCATAATATGAGAATTGTGGGAGCCCTAGCTGGTTTGGCTCAGTGGATAGAGTATCGGCCTGTGGACTGAAAGGTCCCAGGTTCCATTCCAGTCAAGGGCATGTACCACGGTTGCAGGCTCCTCCCTGGCCCCTGCCCTGGTCGGGGCATGTGTAGGAGACAGCCAATTGATGTGTTTCTCTCTCTCTTTCCCCCTCTCTTCCCTTCTCCCTAAAAACCAATGGAAAAAATATCCTTGGGTGAGGATTAAAATAAGTAAATTTTTAAAAAAAGAATTGTGGGTATATGGCTTGAGTGTATTTGAGCACACATGTGTATAAAGTAACTGAAGAGAAACAGAACATAATGTGTTAAAATCTTTGAGTTGTGGTTTTTTATATTCTTGAAAATTAAAAATTTTTTTAGAAGAAACTGAAAAAAGAAAATTGTAAGTCAGACATTAATTTGGAAATGACTACTTTAAAATTAGGGTAGTATTCTTTATTGTATTTGAATTTAGATAGTAAAAAGAACATTTCAGCACAATCTAAAATTTTGTGCTCAGTGCTTAATCTGTTCAAACATTAAATATTTGAACATTTGGAGGATTTAAAAATATTTGTTCTTAAAACCTATGTAGATTTTCTGGGGGATTATTTGGTTTGGTTATTTATAATATATTAGAAATAGGAAGCAGGCCCCACCTAGGAAATTCCCTATAGTTTAGTTTTTCCCCCTCCTCCTCTTCCCATCTCCTTTCTTTTCCTGCTCTATTCCTTCTCTTTCTCCTATTAGTATATGTTGTATAATTTCTGGTAGATTAATTCTAGGTGACTTTGTTCAATATGCTAAGTGCTGGTGATATTGTTTATGTAGTTTTGTGTGTGTGTGGTTTTTTTTTTTATAGGTAGGCCGAACCCTAGCACACAAAAACTTCTTTAGAATCTCTTCTGAAAATTTCTAATTTTCCATCCTTACTACCACCTGAAACATCGGTTGGCCTTATATTTTTTAAGTGGTAGCCTGAATAGTCAGTGGTAGAATCAGACTGGGAAGAATTTGAATGTTTCCAGAGAAAATGTGCTTTTAAACAATGTGCTAAACCACAAGAACCCAGAGTTCTTTCCTTTGAGTTATGCATTACTGTTTGTGCTTCTGGGTTGAAGTGAAACAGATTATTCAGTAATGTCAAGCCATAAAAATGTTTGACCATTTTTTTAAAAATTTTGTTTATAAAGTCAGTTATATCCATTCATAGACTTTGGGACTTTATATGTGATGGTGCATAGTAATCATAGGACAAATACTTCTTTGGAAGAAAAAGAAACAAAATTCATCTGTATGATCTGTGAACTTTGGCATTTTGTCGAGGATGCTTACAGTGTATCCTCTTCCCTTATATAGTCTCTTTATCTTAAAGAGAAGGAAGTAACACAAGTGATTTGTCACAGCTCTGAAAATCTGCTTAACTTAAATAATAACTATTGATTGAGTTTATCATGTAGCAGACACCATACTAATCCCTGACTTTATGTGCTGCCCTCCTAAAGTCATTTGAAGTAGTATTAAATTTCCCTTCCAGGAAAATAGGGAAAATCTTCATTCTTTGTGATATTATTATGTGATTACCTCTGCTAGAAGCTCCCCCTGTCAATTTATGGATTTCTAGATAAAGGAATTCAATAAGCACTAATGCGATGAATAGAGATACTAGGACTAATGAAGGATTTTAGAAATTTGAAAATAACAGAAATACTAAATAATAAAAACAAAAGCAGGCTCTCCACAGTCACATAAATGAGATTACAAAAAGAAACTGATAGTGACCCAAGTACACCAAAACTTAGTATGTTGTTTATTGCCGTTCTCTAATAATTTTTCTTAGATTTAGATATATTTGGGAAGTATTTAAAGAAATTAAATTTAACTAAGCAACTTAATCTCCCAAAGGATAAATATAAACTAGAATCTTTTGAATATTAATGGAGCCTAACGAGCATTATATTATGTAAATTCAAAATATTCTTACATTTTAATACAAGTCCCCAAAGCATTAATAAATCAATTTAACTATTAAGTGTCTTAGGAAAATAGGGTTGTAAAATTGGAGTATGAGGGTAGACAGGTAACAAGTAACTGGGATACAGATTCTTAAAGATTAGGGGTTTATTCTAGAGTGATATGGGGTCCCATTATGTAGTTTTTAGCAGAGGAATAACATGACCTAACTTGTGATTTAAAAGAATCATTTGGGCTACTATGTTGATAATTCAATATAGAAGGAGAAGAGCAGAAACAAGGGACTATTGAAGAAGCCATTGCAAAAATCCAGGGAAGGGATAGTAACGATAGTTCAGAATTGAGTGAAAATAATGAGAAGTGGTAAATTCAAAGTACATTTTGAAAGCTGAGCTCACAGGATTTCCTGACAGTTTGGATATGGCGTGTGTGAGAAACAACTGGGTCAGGAATGGCTACAACTGGGCCTTGTTTGGAGGATAGAGGCATATGAGAAGATCAATTTGGACATATTAAATTTGAGATGTCAGACATGCATTTGGACTAGAGTTCAGACCTGGAAGTCATAGCTTGTAGATGATAGTAAGCCTATGTCCATGAAACTGGACATAAATTGCCTAGTAACTGGGCATCAACAAGGCAAGATGATTGCTGAAAACTAACTTTGGTAACGATCACAATTTTTCCTGGTGTCAGTATTGCTGATAGCCTAGTTCTGCTGACCTAATTAAGGACCAAAACCAATTCTTGTTAGAGATTTTGGCCTAAATAGTATACCATATGTGAAGTAATAAGCATCCATTAAATGTTTCTTTTCCTTTCATACATTTCATCATTTAAAGGACAAGGCAACTTAAATACAGGATGTCTGCATTTAGCCTCTCCACTCTTCAGTAGGTTTGGGGAAATTATGAATGGATTACATTTACCTGTTTTACTAGAAAAAAACCCCAAGTATTTGGGTTACTAAAGAATAAGGCAAAATATCAGATACTATTAGGCTGAATGTGATCATTGAGAAGAAATTCAAATGATAAAAAATAGAAAAACAATCTATATTCCTTTGGGCATTGAGGAAAAAACATCACCAGTGGTTCCTATACTTTGGGGCACATTGGAATTAGCTGGGCACCTCTTAAAAATACTGGTATTTGTTCCTACTCCCAGACCTTCTGATTTATTTGGTATGGAATATGACCTAGGCATCAAGAGTTTTAGAATTTCTCCAGGTGGCTAATGTACAGCAAAGTTTGAGAACTACTGTGATGTACACTATTTGTTTTCTAATGGAACTATCTCTAATAATCACAGTATTTAAATTTCCTTTCGTATTTTTTTCATTCTTTGCTGGTGCCACAAATGGAAGCAACATTGATATAAGGTCCTCTTGTAAGCATTATGCCAAGTGAAATAAGTCAGATTAAAAAAAGACACACACTATGTGATTTCATTTATATGTAGAATTTTTAAAAACACACACACTGAAGTCATAGATACAAAGAACAGATTAGTGGTTGGGAGGGAGGAACAAAATGGGTGAAGGTGGTCAAATGGTAAAAAATTCCAGTTACAAAATGAATTAAGTTCTTGGGATGCAATGTACAGCATGGTGACTATAGTTAATAATACTATCTTGCATATTGGAAAGTTGCTAAGAGATCTTAAAAGTTCTCAGCACACACAAAAAAAGCACCCATTCGCAATGATAGCTTCATTAGACTTGAAAAAGACTTGGATTCAAATCACAGTTACTTTGCTCATTAGCACAATTATAATAGGCAATTCCTTTAACCTTCCCGATATTCTGAATTCTTTTCTCTAACATGAGAATAACCAAATCTACTTTGCATGGTTATTATAAATAGTTTTTAAAGCGAATGCATGTGAAGGTAAATTATAAAAACTATATAAAAATATTAAAGAATTATTATTTGAAAAGATTTTTCTTAACCTTGGAAGTGATAAAACATTGTAAAATGTAATAATTTCCTGAAAGTGAATAGATTATTATTTTTTCACTGCCATAAGAATAAAGCTCTTCATACAGCACCTAATAAGTGCTATTAATTAAACATGTTTAGTAGAGGAAGTGTTGTTATGTATTTATTTCCTATAGAGTGTATTAATATGGGAAAACATGTGTGAAACTCAGGCCTGGATTTCAACACAGATGTCACTTATTAGCAAGTGTGTGTCAGTAGACATGTTCTAAGTCTCACGTTTCTTTTCTCTTCATATTGGGGGTAATAACCTCTCAGGGCTCCTGTGTGAGGTTCAAGGGTAAAGCACCAAGCATAGTGACTGGCACAGAGCTTGCAGGAAATGTTACTTCCTTGTTCCCCTCCAAGAGAACTATAACACTGGAATAGTAATTTTAAAAGCTGAATAATGATAATTTCTTAATAGCTAAACATTCTTAACCATCACTTTTTATTTGTTTTGCTGATTTCCATATTGTTTTAACTTTTAAGTGTCTACCTCCCCTCCACCATCAATGCTTTGAAAAGCAGTTTTTATTTTGTATGCTTTCTCAGGTAATAAAAGAAGCCATTTTAACATTAAGTCTACACCATGGACAGCACAAAGGAGAAGAATGACAATTACAAAGATGATCTCCTTCTTAGGATGGGACTTAACGATAATAAAGCTGGGATGGAAGGATTAGATAAAGAGAAAATAAACAAAATTATAATGGAAGCCACAAAGGTATGTTTCTTGTTTCTTTCAATGTCTTTAATATAGTAACTTTTATACTTTTCGTTTAAATGAAAATCAGTAAATTTTAAATATCCTTTTAATTATAATTTTAATTTATAACATTGTTAAGCTACGAATGGGCATGGAATAATCTTCTTTCTATTCAGTTGTTCTTGCCATCCCATTTTCTACTTCACGTATACCTATTATGCATGTAAAAGCAAAATATCATGCATGTATTTTTTTGCCCTTTTTTTAACCCCAGGAGGAGAATATTGTGATTGTTGTGTTTTTTATTTTGTTTCGGTTAATATAACTTGGAGGTCTTTCTGTGTAAGTACTTAAATATATTCATTGGTCTTTATGCTACATGTGGATATAATATAATTTATTGAACCAGTCAGAAATCTAAATTTAGTGGTGGACATATGTCGTTTCTAGTCTTTTGTTTTTACCAGTACTGCAATGAATAACCTTGTATTTTATAACTTTACATATGTGCAAATGTAACTATAGGGGAGATTCCAAGAAGTGGAATTGTTCCAGCAAATGCAGATAGCACAAAGGGATACAGCATGTGCAGTTTTTATGAATTGCCTAGTAGCCCTCCATTGTGGTTGTATCAATTTACATTTCCACTATTAATATATGAGGGTATGTATTATCTTGCCACAATGTGTCCACACTGTGTGTTACTAAACTTTTGGATTTACCAGTCTATGGTAACATAGTATAGTATTTGTATTTCTCATGTCTAAAAGCTATTTGTATTTCTTTTTATATGAACTGCCTCTTAGCCTTTGCACAGATTTTGCTCATGGTAGTTTCTCCTGAGCAGAAGATTTATGTTTGCTTCTTTTTATATTGAATCAGTCAAATATATGTGGCTCCTCCAAGACCATGAAAGAATTCTTTTTTTGTTGTTGTTAATGCTCACATGAGGATATTTTTCCATTGATTTTTAGAGAGAGTGGAAGGGAAAAGGAGAGACACATGTGAGAGAGACACATCAATTGGTTGCCTCCTGCACCCACCCCGACCAGGTCCCAGGAACCTGCAACTGAGGTACAAGCCCTTGACTAGAATCAAACCCAGGACAACACTCTACCCACTGAGCCAAACCAGATAAGTCTGAAAGAATTCTTTAATAGATTTTCTTCATACCACCTTTTTTGGTTTCATCTATATTTCTACAGGGCCCGGTGCACGAAATTTGAGCACTGGGGCTGGGGGGTGGGAGGGTGGTCTCTCAGCCCCGCCTGTGCCCTCTCGCAGTCTGGGAGCCCTTGGGGGATGTCCGACTGCTGTGGAGGTGGGAGAGGCTCCCACCACCGCTACTGCGCTCACCAGCCGTGAGCCTGGCTCAGGGCTTCTGGCTGAGCAGTGCTCCCCCTGTGGGAGCGCACTGACCACCAGGGGGCAGTTCCTGCATTGAATGTCTGTCCCCTGATGGTCAGTGTGCATCATAGCAACTGGTCATTCCACTGTTTGGTCAATTTGCATATTAGTCTTTTATTATATAGGATTATGAATACCCATGCAGTAAGGTATAAAATTTAAGAGAATTGCCTCATTCTTAGGAAATGCATGCTGATATTCACAGCAATTTACTTCTAATCGTTTAGGAAGAAATGGGGAGAAAAGGTGTGTGTTCGCGTGCACACACACCACCAAATGTTGGGAAGAAACCAAATATTGCAGGAGATTAACAAATGCTGTATCTGGAAGAGGACATATAGTGATCATTGTACTATTTTTTTTTCAACTTTTAAAGGTTTATAGATTCCAAAATAAAAAGTTGAGGGAAAAATAATTTTAGTATATAAAATGTAGATACAATTTTGAAAGTTAAAAGGATTATGAGATGAAATAAGCAGATACAACATATGGACTCTGATTGGATCCTGATTAAACAAATACATAGGTGAATTTGAAGATGGAATGGATACTAGGTAATATTAAGGAATTATTGTTCACTTTATTAGTTATAAAAATGTTATGATTATGTGGGGAAATAACCTTATTGTTTTTTCTTTTTTAAATATATTTTTTATTGATTTCAAAGAGGAAGGAAGAGGGAGAGGTAGAAACATCAATGATGAAAGAGAATCATGGATTGGTTGCCTCCTGCATGCCCCCTACTGGGAATCGAGCCCACAACCCAGGCATGTGCCCTTGACCAGAATCGATCTGGGACCCTTCAGTCCACAGGCCGATGCTCTATCCACTGAGCCAAACCAGCTAGGGTAAAATAGCCTTATTTTTAGAGATGCATAATGTAATACTCTATGGACTAGCTAAATGTCATTATATCTGTAATTTAGTTTACAACAGGTCACTTAAAAAATCAATCAAGGTAATATGGCAAAATGTTAACAGTTGTTAAATATCAATGATAATTTTGTACATCTGTTCATTGTACTAATCTCTCAATTTTTCTGTTTGAGACTTAGTAGAAATTTTCATCATACAATTTTAAAAAAAGAAATAAACCTGGTTTTCAGGTTGAGAGATAGAATATTACAGTTATCTTAGACGTCCCTATCAGATCTCTCTCTTCTCTGTGTCCCAGAACCACTTATTAAATAATCCACCCTTTTTCTACTGATCTGCCATCCTTTTTCCTGTCCCACTGGATTATATTAGTCATTGGGAAAATGCAAACTAAAGTTACAATAAAGATTTTTAAAAGTTAAAAATGGGACTGCCATTTGACCTGGTGATCCCACTTATAGGAATATATCCCAAGAAGCCTGAAACACCAATCAAAAAAGGATATATGCATCCCTGTGTTCATAGCAGCATTATTTACAATAGCTAAGATCTGGAAACAGCCCAAGTACCCATCAGTTGATGAGTGGATAGAAAAGCGGTGGTAGCTTTACACAATGTAATACTATGCAGCTGTATATATAAAGAAAGGATCTCTTACCTTTTGAGACAACATAGAGGGACCTGGAAATAATTATGCTAAGTAAAATAAGCCATTCAGAGAAAGACAAATATCACATGATTTCACTTATATGTGGAATCTAATGAACAAAATAAATTGACAAACAGAATATATCCAGAGACATGGAAGCATACAACTGATGATTCTCAGAGGGAAGAGGAGGGCAGAGATTAACCAAAGAATTTGTATGTATGTGTGGATAACCCGTGGACACAGATAATAGTGCAGTGAAGGCCTGGGGAGGGTGTGGGATTGAGGAGGAGGGGTTAATTGGGGGGGGTGGGGAAGGGACATCTGTAATACTTCCAACAATAAAGATAAATTTTACTTAAAAATTCCAGAACAAACTAAAAAAAAAAAAATTATGCCATTCACACTATTATAGCCTAGAATGGCTATAATAAATAAGGCAGACATGGATGTGGAGAAATTGGAACTCTCACACATTGCTGGTGGGATTGTAAAATGATTCTGCCACTTTGGAAAATAATCCGACAGTTCCTCAAAGGGTTTAGCGTGGAGTTACCATATGACACAGATTTCATTCCTAGGTACATCCAAGGGAAATGAAAACATGTCTACCCACAAAACATGTACACATACATTCATTGCAACATTTTTTATAATGACCAAAATGTAAAAATAATCCAGATGTCTATCAGCCTGATGAGTAGATAGCTATTATGTTCAGCGATAGGATGATAGGTAATTTTCTGAAAGTTATTTTCTTTAATGACTAACATTAAATTTTTAAAAATACTTTTAAAGTAAAAGTGAAGGAGGTAACTGATGATCCATCTCACTAAGGCCTTGGATATGACCTAAGGATTCTGTCTAGGGACACATTGTTATTTTTTGAGTGCAGATATGTACTCATCTTGGTTTATACTGTGCTTAGTACTGCCTCACAACAATTCTATCATTTAGGTAAGTATAAATTCATTTTACAGATAAAGAAACTGAGACACAGAAAGTTAATTTTAGGTTTGCTTAGCTAGAAATAGTTAAGCTAAGTTTTGAATTTAATCATTCTGATGCTCTCTTACTCTTAGCCTCCAGGTTAAACTACAGTGATGCTTTCCTTCAGACATTTTTCTTATGCTTTGCTTTGCTTTCCTACATAGGGATCCAGATTTTATGGAAATGAGCTCAAGAAAGAAAAGCAAGTAAACCAACGAATTGAAAATATGATGCAACAAAAAGCTCAGATTACCAGTCAGCAGCTAAGGAAAGCACAATTACAGGTATTAATTTATTTGCTAAAGAAAGTGAAAGCTGGTAGAATAGGAATTGACCGTTTAAATGCATCATGCTCATGTCATAAGAAAAAACAAGGTAAAATGTAAATAAAATGTTCGTTATACTGTAAAACAAAAATTTTTTTTTTTTTTTCCACTTCTCCCATCATTCATGGCTTTAATCACAATGATGTCAAGTATTTAATTCTTCGTTCCCAGAATATCACATAAACTATCAGCCCTAGCTGATCTGGCTCAGTGCATAGAGCATCAACTTGTGGACTAAAGCGTTCTGAGTTTGATTCAGGTACCTAGGTGGCAGGCTGGATCCCTGGCCCTGGTTGGATGCATGCAGGTGGCAACCAATTGATGTGTTTCTCTCGCATCGATGTTTCTCTCTCTCTCTCTCCCTCCACCTTCCACTCTCTCTAAAAATCAATGGAAAAAATATCCTTGGGTGAGGATTAACAACAACAAATTATGACTGCTGGCAGACCTAATTAGCAGCACTGGGAATCATGAAAATAGGTCTGAGCAACGTAGAAGCCAGATAAGCTCTCTTCCCACAAAATTCCATGACGACCCAGCCTATCCTCGCTCGATTTCAGATACAGGACACAGAGGACACAGACCTCGCTGGAAATTTTAGTTCACAGCCAGCTAACTTAAAAGATTACGCAAGGGGAGGAACATGTTGAATGTTGAACTCATCGATGAAACTCGGCTTTGACTGTTCCTGTAAAATAAATCACCAACATGCTTACACATTGAAATAGTGTACGATTATCTGCTCAGCACCAAGGAGTGTCTTCCGATCAGAACCTCCTCATCGGAACCGGACAGAATACATGTCAGTGGGAACAGAAGCTGTTGATTGACAACGGAACTCCAATGACGCTGGGATCTGTCTTCCTTTTGCCCCGGTGCTGGCTCCCGCTGGCCTGTCTCCTCCCCAGCCTGCGGTCCTGGTCTCTCTGCCCCTACGGCACTGCTCCCTGCCCAGGTCGCATCTTCCACCCCCATTGCCTTTCCCTTCTTCTTCCTGCCCCTCCGGGTCTTTCTCGCCGCCCACCCGACCCTCGTGCCCCGGTGGGATGAGGAGGTCCCGCGCAGGAAGCGCACTCCCAGTGGGACAGGATTGTCAACACTAAGCCCGACAGCTGGGCCGGTGGGCGGGGCTTGAGGGCCAAGGAACCGGAAGTGCCCAGGACGCGGTGGGCTCCCGGAAGGCGCCCCGATTTGGCGGGGGGGGGAGGATCTCAAGGGGGCCTGCGGGACGGCCGGCGCTGCGCGGTGCGGAGAGGAGACGGTGCAAAGGGCCCCGGCAGGCAGGGCGGGGCGGGGCGATTTTACCTGCAAGGGAGCGGACCGGGCCCGCAGCTCCCCGACTGGGCGGGGCTCCCCGCGGCTGGGGCGGGCGGGCGGGGCGGGCGCAGTTCCTCCAGGTCCCTGGGTCCCGGGCTGCGGGTGTGGAGGACGCGGCGCTGGGGTATCCACGAGCGATCCTGACCTCTGTAAAACAAAAATTTAACAAATATGTATACTTTGTTAAAATTACTCTGCTTTACATAAAGATCCTACACTTAGAAATTGTCACCTTCATCAAACAGATGAGTAAAAGGTTCCTTAATTAGGTTAAATAACTTGCCTAGTTATTTGACAAGTAGTTGGCAAAGTTAAAGCTTATATTCTTTTTATTATATACATACTTGGCAGCTAGAGGGGCCACAGGATTAATGTGCCATATTTTCTACAATGCTGATTTTGGAGGAACATATTAACTAATTAAATTAAAAGGTAATTTAAAACAATTGTCTGATAGTAAAAGAAAAAGTCACATAAAGGGTAGAATGTCTAATGTGCATGAATTTTTAAAATAAAACACAAAAATTCTAAAAATTTGGGGGCTTTTGGCTTCTTCAGGATCTTTGGGAAGTAAATACTTTGTTTCCTCTGGTATTAAAAGTTATTTCAGGAGAAAAGTTTGATAAGAACTACACTGCCAGGGACCATATGGTAGATTGACAACTTAAAGCAGTCAAGGTTCTGCTAATAAAACTAAAGTTTAATTTTACAAATAATTTTATTGTTGATCAAATCTGATTCAATTTTAACAAAGCACTTTACAACATAATGATAAAATAATAATATTAATTTGATTCTTGTGATAAGGTTAAGATCATAAATTTTATGTCTTTCTTACCAAACTATAATGTGTCATTTAAAAAAAATATATGCTTTCCCAGAGCACAAGCTAATTTTTATCTTCTGTGTTAAGTGGTCTGCCTCCATGATAAAAGGTGATTTGTCTACCAAATCATCGTTTTTATTGCTTCATAGCATGCCACTGTATGGAGGTACCATAATTTATTTACTTTAACCCACCTTGGTTCCAATTTTTTTGTTTGTTTTATATACATCCTTGTGATAATCATTCTTATTTACATGTCTTTTTGCAGGCTCCTATACCTCCCCTCTGACAGCTGTCAGTCTGTTCCATGTATCCATACCTCTGTTTCTGTTTTGTTCTTCAGTTTATTTTGTTCACTAGATTCCACATATAAGTGAGATCATACGGTATTTGTCTTTCTCTGACTGGCTTATTTCACTTAGTATAATAATCTCCAGGTCCATCCATGCTGTGGCATAAGGTGATTGTCTTTTTACACATTAGTTACCTACTAATATTTCCTTTTTGTGGCAGTTTCCTCTTTTATTCTGTTAGGACGTAGGCTAAGTAGCTGGTACAAGAGACCCAAACATATAATGGTCTAAATAAGATACGAATTTATTTCTCTCTCACATAATAGGTAAGTAATCCCAGCTGGTCAGGTAGTTCTGATCACCATAGTAATTTTGAGAACCAGTTTCTGCATCATGTTGTTCCATAATTTCAAAATATTATCCTTACCAGGATTGACAGAACTGGATTAGCTCCCTAGTAAGGAAGAAAGAACAAAGGAACAATTAAAGGCAAATAATTTGCTGATACACAAGTGAAAAAGAAGTTGCACACATTATTTCAGCTCACAGTCTTTTATAAGAATTTAAGTTCCACGGTCACACCTAACTGCAAGAGAAGCTGTAAAATATACCTGGGTGGCCATGTGCAGCTAAAAATCTATTACTATAGAAGGGAGAGAGAATGGATTTGGGGGTTCAACTAGCATTCCAAAGCAATATCCTCTGTCTACATTTCTAGAGGAGCAGGTATCTTTTTTCTCTTGATTTATAGATAGTATCATATACTAAGGATTTTTTAATCTGCCACTTGTTGTAAATATTTTCCCAGTTTGTTGTATTTTAATTTCACAGGGTTTTTCCCCTATATAATTTTAAATGTCTATATAAACAAATCCAACAGTATTTTAAAAAATTTCCTTAACTTAGGTATTGTGCATAGAGGTTATTCCTCACAAATAAGCCTATATGTTCTTTTAGTGTTTGTATAGATTTTTTTATACTCCAATATTTAGTCTCTTTGGAATTTGTTTTGATGTAAGGTATGAAGTATTTTTTTCTTAAATAGTGAATATTATATTTTTCCTAAGTGGTATTATTTTCCCCAAATAATGATTCTCTTGTCCCAACATCACTATTGAATCATGAGCCTTTTCTCTACTGAGTTGAAGAGGCATGTTTATATACTAAACTCTCATTGTACTTGGACTTGTTTCTGGACTCTCCTGATCAATAGAATCTTTTCCTTTATCAGTACCATGCAATTTTAATTATTAAATTACAATAATATAATTTAATACCCTCCTTCACTACTCTTGTTTAAAATTTTTTTATTTTTCTCATGCATTCTTTTAAATAAATTTAAGCATCATCTTATCAAGTTTTTTAAAAATTCTATTCTGTCCACATTGATACTGTTTTTAAATTGATATTAATCCTTATGCAAATTTTTTTCTAGACCTTTTTTTGATGAGTTTTATAGATCTATAGCCTGTGAATATCTTTAAGTTTTAAAGATATAATACAAATGAGTGGTGCAACATAATATTTTGCTGTTCATACTATTTTTAAGGCTCATATTTTAAAATATGCTAATAATTTCAAGGAATAGAGAATACCTGTATATGTTGAGCAACAGAATTTCAGATTTTGTTACAGTTTTAGTTGACTATTTCACAGGAGGCTCTCTGACATCTTTTGCAAGGGGAATGACAGGAAATGTATTTTATGTTGATTGTTAAATTGTTTTGTTTGTTAAGCTTCCTTTAAAAGAAGTTGTATAAATGGGAGGGGATTGAGGAAGTCCTACGGAGTCTAGAAGTTCTGAGAGAACAGAAAAGTTTTCATAGGAAATGTGTTTCTATTTTAGAGTCATAAAATTTCTGAATAGTAGATTTTATTTTGTGTGATAAGATAGTATGAACTATTGCCAGTCAAGCTGAGGTAAGTAATCTCTGTAGGCATGAACTCCCATAATATGAATTCAGATACTCTCTATGTATTCCCCAACCCATCCCATCCTCATTAGATTTCTTAAAGGCACATTTTTGTAGCTGCTAAAACATCTTATTATAGAATGGGTTCATAAATTGAATAGACAAACATCATATTATAGTAAATGGCAACTACACAGGAAATCACTGCATTTTTACCATTTTAACACTTGATTTTATGAATTCAGATTTGTTCAACAATTGTCAGAGCAATGCTCATTAAGAAAATGAAAAACAGTATTTCTGAAATATTCTCCTAGATGTAATAGAAAAAGGATTTTAAAAACTTAGACATAATATGGATATCAAACATACCGCTAGCTTTATTTCAGTGATGAAAACTTTTAAAAGTCTATTTTAGGGTAGCATAAAATAATGGAAAGAGCATAGACTTTTGAGTAACCTGATTTCCAGGTCTAATTCTAACATTTACCAGCTGTATGAAGGGCAAATTACTTAATTTTATTGAGTTTTAGTTTCCTTATCTATAAAATGGGAGTAATAATCATTAAGTCAGAATTATTTTGACCATTAAATGCATTTACAGTAAGAAGCACTTAAAATATACCCTTGTCATTTAATATACTCAGCAAATGTCACATCTACTCTTAAAATTATAGATAATATCATTAAGCCCTTACCACTTTACAATAAGGGAAGTGGGGAAGAGAGGATAGTTACACTGTCATGTAACTAATTAGTGGCAGAGCTGAGACCCAGACGAAAGCCATTCTTCTTAACCTCTGTGACACATACTGGATCACGAGTGTGGCAAAAGGGATACCGTACAGACATCTTAGAGATTCATATCAAAACTTGAAAGTCATTTGGAAGGAAAAATGGAAGAAAGAAAAACATGAGTGAGGATTTCACTAGAAGAAACTTGAAAAAAGTGGTGGCCATTTGGTAGATGTTGATAGAAAAGAGTTCAGAGAAGGGTGACTAATGAGAGATAGTAAAGGAAAATGGAATGTCTGAGTCATCAGTGGGGAGGTTTCCTTTTGGCAACTATACACTTGCCATGAGCCCAGAAAAGTCAATAGGTTGCTGAAGAAACCGCCCTATCTTTAATATATGAGTCCGAGGAGAATTTTTCCCATTTAGTTTGCTTTCTATTATCTTTTTCCTTTCCAACGATTCTGGGTTAAGATATTTCAGATGCTGCTCTGTTATTCTCAGTTGACTCATATGTTAAGCATATTTTCTAGATTAATATAGAGTAGTTTTCAAATCTTTGTTTTTATTAGTTTCCATGACTTGCTTATTTCTTTTTTTTAATGTCAAGATGCTATTCTCCAGTGTAAAATTGAACTGGAAGAATCGTTGTGTTAAGTCTGGATAATAAATCAGATTAATGTTGAAAAGTTTCATTTATTAGGCATGGTGTCTCACTGCATGAGATCAGCCTTCCCCTAAATTTTTCTACAAATACTACTTTCTCTTTTTTAACCAGAAATATATATATATGTATAAATTTTATTCCTTTTTTCCCCTCCCTTTCTTTCTTAAAGTTCTTTCTCCGCCTTATCTGAGATAAGGTTTCTTCTTAGGTACTAAACTCAGAATTTAGTATCTAATACAATTAGTGCCACAGTAAGAACAGGAAAACTAATAAGGAAACATTAAATTCTGCAGTGCAGAGGACAGAGATTCAGTTAAGTTTCAGAGAAATATCTGAACTGATACTTAAAGGCTTTGTGACAGGAAGGGCTTTCTCAGCATAGAAACGGCCTGAAGAAGGCAAAGAACACCGCAGATTGTTCAGTGGATGCAGCCTAAATAGGATCAGACCCTCTAGGAAGTCTTACTATGACTGATAGAGACAAATGTGATTCCGTGTGATTGTTTCTAAAAGAGAAGTTGCAGTCCTAACCTGCAGCTAGTGGGCAGCTAGCGTCACTATAATGCTGAGAAGCAACGCTAGTAGCAAGGCTGAAGTCCAATGAGGGGAAGAGCTAAATTATACCCTTGTAACTCTCCACCTTTGAGGAAACCTGCCATGGGGATTTCCACGGGATGGAAATGGCTTTTATTCCAGAGATCACCATATTTACATATTTAGGGCTGTTTTCCCTCAATTTTAAAAAAATATTTTTATTGATTTCAGAGAGGAAGGGAGAGATAGAAACATCATTGATGAGAGAAAAATCATTCATCGGCTGCCTCCTGCACCCCCCACACTGGGGATTGAGCCTGCAACCCTGGCATGTGCCCTGACCGGGAATGGAACCCTGACCTCCTAGTTCATAGGTCGACGCTCAACTACAGAGCCACACTGGCCGGGCTCCCCTCAATTTTTTTTGTTTTGTTATACAGCTAGACATTGATCCTTTTAGTAATCGGTTGCATTTATTGAATTTGTACCATTTGCCAGCCACTCTTCCATGTTCTTTATGTATTCCATCTCACTCAATAGCTTTCTAATCTCTTTTCTCATAATTTTACTGGTTTTATTGACTTTTTCTGCGTGTCGAACATCAGAAAGGTCACACAGCCACCCCCAGCTGGTGGGAGACTGAGAAAGCACATATTTAGCTTTTTCAGCCTCTATGGTAGAGGTCGCAAAAAAGGAACACTTGGGAATGGGTATGTCTGCTACATAAACCCTTTCCTTACTGCCCTACTTTGCTTATTTTTACCCCTTTTCATTGACCCAACTCTTTCTCTCTAAAGAAACAAAAAGATTCTTTAAAGATTAAGATTTTTTTCTGTTATATTTGACATATATACTGAAATTTTATGAAAGAATAATTACACCTTAAATTTTTAATTTGATTTGTATCAAATTTTAGCCTTATAAAAGCAGTTCTACAGAGGGAATGTTTACATATGCTTTAGTATAATCTTTGTTGCTCATTTCCTTTGTTGCTATTTTAAGATATGAATATTATGAATCGGATAGGAGTGGTTGTTTATTTTACCTAAAGTGAAGCTTTTAGTTACATAAGTTGTTCTCCAAATTTATAAAGCAGCAGAGTCATTTGATATAAGCAGTTGGAATAGTTTATTCTTCAATAAATACTTATTAAGTACCTCTTATACTTATGGTTATTGGAACATGTAAGAGTTGATAGGGAATGATATTTAAGAACAGACTGCCTATATTTGTGAAAATTATAGTAATTATAAGCCTTAATAAACAATATAGACAGGTAGGTGGGTGGATGGGTGGGTGGGCAGATGGATGGATAGATGAAGAGAGACAGATTGAAGATACTTAGTAAAATATTAATGTTATGATTAGTAGTGTAATAATATTATGTTGTCAAAAGTATGTTAACTTTTTAAAAATTAAGGTTGACAGATTTGCAATGGAATTGGAACAGAGCCGGGATCTGAACAATACCATAGTGCACATTGACATGGATGCTTTCTATGCAGCGGTAGAAATGAGGGACAATCCAGAATTGAAAGATAAACCCATTGCTGTAGGATCATCAAGTATGTTGGTAAGTAGGTAAAGACAAAATGGAAATTTCATAATATATTCAAGTAAGCCTTACTGGTTTATGCAGGGGAAAGACTTTATTGAATTCTACCAGCTTAACTGCGTATTTTTCTGATTGCTTTATGTGTTCAGTTACTAACTCCTTTCAACATCCCTTGAGGTACAAATTATTGTTTCCATTTGACAGATAAGAAAACAAACTTAGAGAGATATTTAATAACTTCCCTAAAGTTCCAAACCTGGTAAATGGTAGAGTGGCATTGTACTTTCTGTTGCAAATTATATTTTTCTTAAGTAACTGTTCTAGCTTAGAAGAAAAAGGCAAAACGTATTCTAAAGCAGGGCTTTGCAAGCAATGGCTTGCGCACCAAATCCAGCCTACTGCCTCTTTTGTAAATAAAATTTTACTGGAACACAGTCACACCCATTCATTTATTATTGTTGTTACACTAAAAGAACATAGTTGAGTACTTGCAACAGAGATCATATGAACTGCAAAGCCTAAATAATTACTATCTAGAAAAGGTTTGCCAACCCATTCTAGAGTAACATATTTAATTAATGTAGTACTTTAATTAAGTCGTTTTTCCCATGATTTGGAATCTTTGCTTTTCTGATTACTATGTTGCTCTTCCTTATTTCCACCCTAACCATAGAAGGCAAAGACCAGAATAACTATCTGTAACTTAAAATGTGTTGGGAATTAAAAGTAGTAACTGGAATGGTTGGGGTTTTGTAATAAAAAAAAACAAACCACATGTGTGTGTGGGGGTCAGTCGGGGAAAAAGGAGACATATGTAAAACTTTAGACAATTAAAAAAACACACCTATGTTTTCCAATGGTTAGAGCGTCAGCAAGCACACCGAAGGGTTGCAGGTCCTTGGCCCCCAGATTGGGGTTCATGCGGGAGGCAACCAATTGATGTCTCTCTCTCACATCGATATTTCCCTCTCTCTTTCTCTCTCTCTCTCCCCTCCTTTTTCTCCCTCCCTCCCCCCCTTCCTTCCACTCTCTCTAAAAATTAATGGAGCCTGGCTGGAGTAACTCAGTGGTTGAGCATTGACCTATGAACCAGGAGGTCACGGTTCGATTCTTAGGACACATGCCCGGGTTGCAGGCTCGGTCCCAGGTGGGGGGCATGCAGAAGATCAATGATTCTCTCTCATCATTGATGTTTCTAACTCTCTCTCCCTCTCCCTTTCTCTCTGAAATCAATAAATATATATTTTTAAAAATGAATAGAAAAACTATCCTCCTGTGAAGATTAACAAAAAAATAAAATTATATATATATATATGAAACACTTTCTAATGCCTTAGATAGCTATAAACCTAATTCCTACTACGTTATTATTTTATTACAAAACTATAACCTGTACATTATCTCTGCTCCCATGAGTATGCAGGCAACTAACAGTCCTGGTCCAAAAACAGTGTTTATTGAAAGGATACTCACCTTTCCCATAAATCAACTAATACTTGAAAAAATATATTTAATTTCATTAATCCTATCTAATAAAAGAGAAACATGGTAATTAGCCGCACGTCCACTACCCTTCCAATTGGCTAATCAGGGTGATATGCAAATTAACTTCCAGCCAAGATGGCGGCCGGCAGCCAGGCAGCTTGAAACTAACATGAGGCTTGCTTGCTTCAGTGACAGAGGAAACCAACGTTCCCCGCCTGCCTTGCCGGCCTCTGAGCTTGCAGTTTGAAACATTGTAATAAAGATAGAAGCTAAACAAAACCCCAGAAACCTGCTTTCAGCGAGCCAGGATCTCAGAGCTGGAGTTATACATTGTTTCGATTATAGAACCGAAACAAACCAGATACCTGCTTTCAGCAGCGGAGGCCTAAGAGCTGGAGCCTCAGAGCTAAAGTTGGCCCAGAATAAAAAAAAAAAGAAAAAAAGGAGCATTTGGGAGCTTCAGTCACCCGCCAGCCTGAAAACAGCCCTCAGCCCCTCACCCAGACTGGCCAGGCAACCCAGTGGGGACCCCCACCCTGAAGGGTGTGTGACCAGCTGCAAACAGCCATCATCCCCTCATCCAGGCTGGCCAGGCACCCCAGTAGGGACCCCCACCCTGGTCCAGGACACCCTTCAGGGCAAACCAGCCAGCCCCACCCATGCACCAGGCCTCTATCCTATATAGTAAAAGGGTAATATGATTCCCAGCACTGGGATCAGCGGAGCCACGAGGCCTCCCGGCACCAGGATCAGTGTGACAGGGGGCAGCGCCCAAACCCCCTGATCGCCCTGTGGCTCTGTGTGTGACAGGGGGCGGGGCCACAACCTCCCTATCGGCCCTGCTCTGTTCGTGACAGGGGGAGGCGCCCCAACCCCCTGATCAGCCCTGCTCTGTGCCTGATGGGGGGAGCTCCCCAACCCCCTGATCGCCCTGCGGCTCTGTGTGTGACAGGGTGCGGCGCCCCAACCCCGCCCCCCCCACGGGCCCTGCTCTGTGTGTGATGGGGTAGAGCCATAACCTCCCCATCGGCCCTGCCCTGAGTGTGACAGGGTGCAGTGCCCCAACCCCCTGATCCGCCCTGCTCTGTGTGTGACCGGGGGCGGTGCCCCAATTCCCCTATCGGCCCTGCTCTGTGCGTGACAGGGGGAGCTCCCCAACCCCCTGATGGGCCCTGCTCTGTGTGTGACAGGGGGGAGCTCCCCAACCCCCTGATCGACCCTGCTCTGTGCGTGACAGGGTACGGAGCCCCAACCCCCCTGATTGGCCCTGCTCTGTGCATGACAGGGGATGGCGCCGCAACCTCCCCATCGACCCTGCTTTGAGTGTGACGGGGCGGTGCCCCAACCCCCGAATCAGCCCTACCCTGAGCGTGACTGAGGGTGGCATCACAACCTCCCGATCCTCCCTGCTCTGTACATGACAGGGGCGGCGCCCCAACACCCCAATCGGCCTTGCTCTGAGCCTGACCAGGGGCTGCACCTAGGGATTGGGCCTGCCCTCTGCCACCCGGGAGCAGGCCTAAGCCAGCAGGTCGTTATCTCCCGAGGGGTCCCATACTGCGAGAGGGCACAGGCCGGGCTGAGGGACCCCCCTCCCCCCCCCGTCCCCCCGAGTGCACAAATTTTTGTGCACCGGGTCTCTAGTATTTTATAATACTATATACTTATGTATATTAAATTATGTATGTATGCATATATGTGTATATATACACCCATGCAAACATACACACATACCATAGTCATGTTAAAGATAACCCCACTGTTAAATTCACAAAATATTTACTTTCCTATAATTTTTATCCTCCTAAAAATTGCTTGTTTTCAAATTCAAAATGATTATCTGTTACATTTAAACAAAGCTTAGTACTTCCCCGTGTATGTTGACTTAATAGATTTCTCTTCTAATGAAATTTGAAGCATAATTGTTTTTGTCCTGATAAACTCTTAAAAAATATCTATACAGGCATGATGGTGATGATACACTTTTCATTATTACAATCTGTTACAGTTGGAATTCTTTTTTAACGAATTGTAGGCTTTTTAAAATGTTTAAGTTAGTACTCATAGTTAGAACTTAGACCCTGTAGCAGTTATTTATTGCTGCGTAGTGAACCCTTTCAGGACTTAGTGGGCAACCATTTATTTGCTCATGTTTCTGTAATTTGAGCAGATATGATAGGGATGGCTAATCTCTACTCTACCTGGGTTTGGCTGGAGCTATTTAGCTGCGGCTGGAAAATACAGAATGGCTTCACTAACATGCCTGGCACGTCAACTGACTGAGGTGGTGGGAATGGCTTCCAGCCATCCAGCTTTCCCCTCTCTTGGTGCATTTTATTTATTTATTTATTTATTTATTTATTTATTTATTTATTTATTTTACCCCTCACCCAAGGATATGTTTTTTTTAAATTGGTTTTTAGAGAGAAGGGGAAGGAGAGAGAGAGAGAGAGAGAGAGAGAGAGAGAGAGAGAGAGAGAGAGAGAGAGAGAGATATACAGGGATAGAACCTGCAGCCTAGGTATGTGCCCCAACCCGGGATCGGACCTGCAACCTTTTGGTGTATTAAATGGCGTTCCAATCAACTGAGCCACCAGGCCAGAGCCCATGGTGCATTATTATTTAATATTCTAACCATGTAGGTTGCAGATCCCACAAATGCAAAGGCTGCTGACTTCATAATGCCTAGGCTTCATGACTCATAATTTCACTCCCTCACATTCTTTGAGTCAAAGCATGTCAAAATGCAAGTCACTTGGCATGAGGAACTAGAACCCACCTTTGATAGGAGGAACTGTAAAATTCTGTAGCTATGATTTATAATCTACCACAAACCTAAAAGTTAAAGGAAGTCATATCTAAAATTTGGTTTCTGCTCTACCTTAGGTCTAGCGTTTATATAGATCCCTTTAGACTTATTTATATTTAAAACATTGGTTTGTCTTTTTAGTGCCATCTGCATTTTCTGTTCCAGAACACTGACCAAGGATTAGCGTAGTTTTGAGTACTATTAAGATTTTTTAAATGCCATTTAAAAAGTAATTAATGGGAAGTTGATGTTATTATTGTGAAATAATGATTCCATTTGATAGATTCTGTTTTGCATTCTTTGACTTTTCACTTAATGTTCCAAAAAAAGATTTCATTTGTGATAAATTTGTATGTAGTGCTATGATCTACCATATTATCAGACTGTTGTCAGATATCATCTATAAGATTTAGTAATGTTCTTTTTACTTTCAGTTTTTATTTCCATCTCATAGTCAAAATTTTTTCACCAAAAAAGATATTTAAGCCTTAAGAAATAAAATTAACTTTTAAAGTTCTTTTAAGCTTTTATCACTTCATTTTGGAGACCTAATTTGACTAACCATATATTAGACCTTTTGAATTTGTTCTAGATGAAAATTTTCCAAAATCCCAAATTGATCAAATTCCAAATCTGTACTATTGTACCATACTATTACTTTCTATATTATTACTTTCATGTAACATCTATACTATTTGTACTATAATATTACTTTACATTTATACTTTACTATTATTACTGGCTAGGGTGAGGGGCCGTGGGTGGTTGGCTGGCCGGCCCCGCCTCCTGGTCGAACTGCCGGTTGAACTCCCCATTGCATATTAACCTTTTATTATATAGGCTCACCCATTATCATCCAAACTTTGATACATAGTACCATATTATGGGTATGCCTTAAAACCAGTGAAGTTTAGTTACTGGAAATGTAAGGGAACCTTTTTATTATCACAGTCTTGCTTATTACCTGGTGTCATATTATAAATATGGAGACAGCAGTGGGAGAAGGTCATGATGTCATCATGCTATGATAGGATAAAATAAAAGCTTGATTTGAGACAGTGACCTTAAAAAGACATGTCCTTGAGCCCTGGCCTAGTGGCTCAGTTGGTTGGAGCATCATCCTGTACACCAAAAGATTGCAGGTTCACTTTCTAGTCAGGGCACATACCTAGGTTTCAGGTTCAGTCCCTAGTCAGGGTACGTATGGGAAGCAACTGATCTATGTTTCTCTCTCACATCAATCAATCTCTCTTTCTCTTCTCTCCCCCTCTATAAACATATCCTCGGGTGAGGATTAAAAAAAGAGAAATATCCTTGAATTGAAAATGCACATCAGTAATGTGTTTCTTTTGAATGTATCGATCAATATGTTCATTTCGGTTTGTATATTTATTCCCAAGTGGTCCATTTTCTTTCAGAGCACTTCAAATTACCATGCAAGGAGATTTGGAGTTCGTGCAGCCATGCCAGGATTTATTGCTAAAAGGCTCTGCCCACAACTTATTATAGTGCCTCCAAACTTTGACAAATACCGAGCTGTGAGTAAAGAGGTAAGTCTTAATGTCTCACCCCTCCCTACTTATGCATAGCCTTCACTGACTTCCTGTCACCTATGAAGTCAAGTCCACATGCCTTCACACATCAGAATTTTGCCTTAGTTTATGCCTTTAGTCTCACCTCCTACCACTTATTCAATCTATATATTAAATAACTGAGCTGTATATGGTATCCAGAATACACCCTTCTATTTCCCAATTCTTTCTTTTTTCACAAGTTTTTTAATCTGCTTAGAAAACTCTTATGTCCCCAGAAAACTTTTAATTGCTCTAATAATAACCCAAATTAACTTTAGCTTTTTTTTTCTTAATCTGCACTGTACATTTTCTTCTGGAATCACCTGATATTTATAATTTACAAAATCTACTCAAGTCATTAATTTCAACCTCTTTTCTGAATAATTTTTTATCAGTGTTTTTATTTATTTTTTTAATCAGTTTTTTTAAAACAGTAGCAGAATTCACCTATTTTGATTAGCTTTTAATAAGCTTGAAAATCCTTCAAAGACTTTGTAAGAAAGAATTGTTTTAACTCCTACTGTAATTCAGTAAAACTTTGGACAGTGTGGTAATGAGAACAAAATGTTTTTAGTTATCTTTAGTGTAGTTATTTTCATGTTAGAGAAATCTTTAAATTTGAGCAGGATTTAGATAGTTTATTTGCAGATAATTTTTTTTATGTGTAAATGAACTATAGCATAAATTCATTATAAATACATTAATATTTATAGCTTGGTTTAAAAGTTTAAGGAAAAGCCATTTTTGTTTTATCGAAAAGAATAGGATAGCTTTGACTATTGTCATAGCCCAGTACTTGATGTTTATTGGCACATTCTATTCTTGTTCTTATATCCTATGTAAAGGAAGTTAGTGAGTACTCAGTGCCTCTAGGGAGTACTTCTCATTCAGAATAATCTTAGTTGGCTGCCAACTACAGACCTTCCAGAATTTCATTTTCACTAGAAAGATTCTATTTGAGTACATCATAAAAATGGTTTCCTCTACAGGAACAGAGCTAATTAGGTACTCTGAGCAAAACTTGGCCAAGTTTTATGTCACTATTTTCTAAAATTACCTTTTCTAAATTTACTCAGCTGTTCATATTATATTAAGTTAAAAAGCTTTTGTTTTATAAATCATCAAGAAGGGCTTTCTCATAATGCATCAGACAGCTTTTAAATACTAGATGGAACCATAACGTAATTTAGCAAGTATATTATTTTGGCAACCATTTCCTCTAGTTTCAGCTAATACTTCAATGGTTAAAAAAGATTGGTTTCATGTAATAAAACTGTCTTATATAAAAGGCACTTCTAGAATCATATAGAGATTCAGACCTCTTTATGTATGTGTTTCTTTTGTCCCAAGATGCAACTCCAGACTATTGTCCATCATTTATTACAGTCACAGACACTACAGATTTTGTGGTCTTTTCCCATTATAAATCCTGATAATTGAGCTTTGTTTTCTTGAATGGATACATGCATTAATGTGTATATTGAGTGGAGTTTTATGTGCATGTTATAATTAATTGAAATAGAACTTTCTAAAGTAACATAGTACCTTTAAATAAGATTATCCTTTTAAAAATATACAAAACCATCATGAAAGGTGGGGGAGAGGAGGTTTCTATTTTTCCCATTTCTATTTTTGATCAACTTCTTAAAATGTAGTTTCTTAACCGTTTTTTCCTACCAGAATGATGTAAGATTTATTTGAATCACTTACTATTTCTAGATATAGGTGGCTAAACAGAGATTGTATCAAATAAAGCTATTTCATGGTCTTCTACCTTCATGATCTATTTTAATAAGAAAGAGAATTTGGACAAATGTGCCCTGGTGGTAAATTATTTATTCCCTAAATCCATGAGCTATTGATTGTAGGATCGTTACTATGGTTGCAAAGTAAGAATATTAATTTTTCTTATCGGCTGTATGTGACAAATCTTGCTATGGCTGCAAAACTTAAACCGTTTTGTTCCTTTTGAAGGTGAAGGAAATACTTGCTGATTATGATCCCAATTTTATGGCCATGAGTCTTGATGAAGCCTACTTGAATATAACAAAGCACTTACAGGAAAGACAAAATTGGCCTGAGGACAAAAGAAAGTATTTCATCAAAACAGGGCACTCTCTAGAAAATGGTAAGCAACTTATCAGAACAAACAAAAAACCCTTTGAATTTGAATTAACCCATTTAACTTATTAGCATGTATAGGTTATAGGAATAGCTATACATTTAAATGAAAACTCAGAAATAAAATGTACCAGTGGGTTTTCTGAGTTAAATGTGTGGAATGTTGCCCTGGCCGGCTAGCTCAGTTAATTAGAGCATTGTCCCAATACGCCAAGGTTGCAGGTTCCATCTCCAGTCAGGGCACATACAAGAAGCAACCAAATGAATGCACAATTAAGTGGAGCAACAAATCAGTGTTTCTCCTCTCCCCCTCTTTCCCTCTCCCTCTTGAAAATCAATAAGTAAAAATTTAAAAAAGCATATGTGTAATGTCACTGATACACCAAATAAGATTGCTAAATCTCTAGACTTTAAAAGAGTATGCAGAGTCCTTGAATAAAGTGATTTTATAGCAGTCTTTTCCTAAAATCTAACTAATAAGGGGTTGGAATAAATTGAATCTGAAGAGCTTATCTGTTTAAGGTGGCCTTTTGTTGTAGTTGCTAAATGGAAAATAGATTTTAAAAAGTTTTGCTTCAAACATATCAAATCATTGGGTGGGTTGTTTTTTTTTTCATCATTCCTAAATCAAAAACTCCAGCTCCCTTCTTTGCCTTGGACCTACTTTTATTCTTTTATATATGATGAGTCAGAAGTTTCATGATCCAAAGCATTCTTTTTAAAAGGACCCTTTATTACCTATCCAAAGTGATATCAAGAAACATGCAGATATTATGCACACTGCTTTCAACACTCTGTCAAAGGTATGATTATTTCAAATGTCTGAGCTGTCCTGGATTCCTGAACAAAGTTCATCTGATGAAAAGGTAGAAACAGAGAAGGTTTGCTCACAACCCACAGCTACATTCCCTTTGCACAACTCATTGATTGCTTTGAGGGGCGAGGGGAGAGGGGAGAGAGGAGAGGGCAGAGGGGAGAAGGCATAGGCAGTGATGGGGAAACCTGTTTGTAATTTTCCCTGAAGCAAAAATGGTGAATTCTTAATGGCATACAATTATAAATCTCACATTGTTTGAGTCTCAAATCTTTGAAGCAAGTTTAATGTGGACATCAAATCACAACTTCATTACCTTCTTTATAGCTGTAAGGGGTAAGTCTCTAATAAAAACATTAAATAATAAACAAGCATAATTTCTGGATGCAGAGGCTTGGAGCAAAACTTTTTTTTCTTTAGTTTAACTATATTGTTTGGGGAAGTGGCACAAAAAGCCTGATGCCACTTTGCTTCCAATCTCACTTTGTTAGTTCCTTACTTTTCACAAAAGAAGGGGTGGGGGACATTAAATGGTGATGTCAAAGCACCCCCTCCTATAACAATTACTTTCATATATGTTTTTAAAAAGTTACATTGGGACTAAGGTAAATATTTTTATTCTCTACTGATGTTCTTTTTATTTATTATTACGTGCCCAAACTCACAATGAGAATGTAAATTTTTAATACCTATTGCTTTTAACATACTTATGTACTTTCCTCTTCATGAGTGTCTTACTCTTAAGCAATTTAAATAGTTCAGTTTGTTTTGGTCATTGTGTATCTCCCTGTGGGCTGGACTTTCAGGCATAGCTGATTTTACTTTATGCCATGGGAGCTGTCAACAGTGAGTTGGAGCCATGCAGGTGATTGATATATCTTCCTCTAAAATCCAAGACAGTTTTTTGCTGTCTGCCCCTTTCCTAAAAGATGTGGTCTTTGAAAAAGTATTGCTAACTACTATGTGTATATACAAATGAAATAATCGTTATGATTTTATGTTTATTCTGCCTTATAAGTCCAAATAGTGAGTGCCAAGGAATATGTGAAACTGAAATACTGTACATTTTTAGCACTTGCCATCCCAATGGGTGCTTTAATCCTAATGTTTCAGATTAAACCTTAGTTTTATACTCTCATCACCTCAGTTGTGGGGATTATACAGATATTTCTTTCAGAAAGTAAATAAGAAACCATTTCAGCATTTAGTTGCTCATCCAGGCCTCACAGAGAGGTAAACAGACTTAAAGGGTAACTATGCTATTCAGCAGCAGCTCTGACAGTGAACCTGAAGGCAGCATGCGTTGCTTCCTCCTGTACTGTTCTATCAGAGTGACTCCCCTAGGGGCAGGGTGGTAGAGCCATGAGGAAGGTAAACGTGGCATAAGGAACTCTGCAGAAGGGGCTTATGAACGTGGCAGGTACCTTACTTGAGCTGAAGTTTTTCTGCTCTCTTTACCTTGACTTCTCTGCCCATCCACATGGGGAAAAGAGAGTCTAGGTAAATACCATTCCAACTGTGCCACAGTCTTACTCCCCTCTGAATTGCTTTGCAATTTAAAACCAGAACATGGGAAATGAAAGGAACAGAAGCACACAAATAACAGCTAATGTAAGTTTGAAAATAAGGCTTATTTTGTGGATGGTCCGGGAATTCAGATTTGGAAAACATCTGTCTGTAACTTAATTCATATATTAGACTTTAAAATTTGAAATGAATCAGGTGTTGTCATATTATTTATATTTTCTTAAGAAATCTTCCTAAAAGGCCAAGTTTATTTTTAAAGTAATATGCATTCATGTGTCTTGAAAATAGAAATTTAATTTTTGCTTCAGCATTTACCTTAATTTGGAAAACATATCTTATAAAATTGTGAAATGGGATTTGAAAGCTCTGTTGTTAATCTTAGTTATTATAAGTATATTTAAACTGCATTTCTCCTCCATTAAGCCTAGAAAGTAAAGTCTTTAATGGATTTGCTCATGAGGACATTTTTAGTACTAGTATAGATTTAAGTATATTTTGCAGTCCACTTTAAAAAATGCAAATTCAATGAGGTAATAACCAGAATATTTTTACTCTAATTTTTAATAATATTAGTTTACAGCCTATCCTATATAATAAAGAGATAATATGCTAATTAGACCAGATGGTGGAACGACCTTCCAGAACAACCTTCCAGAACGACCAGTGGGCTGGGGGGGCAGGGCCACGAGGCAGCCAGGGCTGCGAGGGCCCACCCCCTTGCACGAATTTCGTGCATCGGGCCTCTAGTTGATGATGATAAAGGCTTCTTTCCCTTAACCTTGGACAGTGGTTAATCTGATCAAACATTAAGAATTTGAATATTTTCATGGATATACATATGCAGATATATAGACTACAAATAAAAAGTAAAACACCAGAAGTAGTTTCTATTTATCTCAAATATGCCTTAGTAAAAATGATACTTTATAAACAGGCATGTCAAAATTAAAATCATCATCTGAAGAAAATTCAAATTATGTCAACATTGGAAATGTTTCTTTCATGAATGAAGAAAATTTAAGTTTATTTTTCCTCTAAAAATGAAACTTATTTTTCAGAAATTTATTCTAGATTGCTTAATGTCTTTTGCCCTGATTACTAAATCCTAATTTAAGAAATTTCTTTTTCCCGTTAGAGATGAATAAACAACAACAACAAAAACTTTAATTTTTTAAGAAAAAAGTAGTATGAATCTAAACCTAATTCTGGGTTTCAATTAACTTAGGTATAAAAATCAATGAGTTTTACTTAAGGTATTTTCTTTTAAAATGTATACTATGGAAATGGGAAATATATTCCTTTTAAGAAAACGTTAGAATCATTGTTTTCTTTTTAAAACTGTTATAAAATATAAATGATGACATTTCTGATCTTGGTTCTTAGAAACAAAACTAAACTAGATTTATTTTGTATTAAGAAAGAATATAACGAAACCTGATTTATGAAGTATATGCTTCTTAAAATGAAGATGAATTACTGTTTCTATTTATAATTTAGATAAACCACGAAAGGAAGTTAATAAACTGAGTGAGCATGAACGATCCATCTCTCCGTTACTTTTTGAAGATAGTCCTCCTGATTTGCAGCCCCCAGGAAATACTTCCCAAGTGAACGTTGAAGAACAAAATAATCCTCAAATACTTCAAAACTCAGTTGTTTTTGGAACATCAGCCGAGGAAGTGGTAAAGGAAATTCGCTTCAGAATTGAGCAAAAAACAACACTGACAGCCAGTGCAGGTACTTAAACAGGATATTGATGGCTACAATAGTTTTAATTTTCAGACTGGCTAATTCAAATGTAATATTAGTAGTTTCTCATTATAAAGTATATAGTAACATTTTACTTATCCATTTTTTGATTCATTTTCTAACAACCTAACCTATTTAGAATGCCTAGAACCTATAGATAAGTTTGAATTAAGCCAAAAAGCCTTTGAGCCCAAAGAAAAAACTATTATAAATCTCATGTAGCTTTCCCGTTTTTAAGTTCAAAATATATTTTAATTATTTTTGGACATAGTACTTTTTTAGTTTTCCCTTAGAAGACTGCAGTTCTTCCAAGGTTACAGTGCAGGAGAGACCCCAGATGACCACAAGGTAGTGGACAGAAGAATCACCAACTCCTAACATAACAATCTAGAACCATCCAGTGAAGGGAAAAAGAGCATAACATAGGTCAGTAGCACATAGGGTAACACCACTTAGCATAGAGACTGATATTTGTCATAAGTGCCCTAAATTATTTTATAAAAACCATCTTATGATGAGGTTAGTCTTTTCTTTCTATGCCAAAACATGAGAATAAGTAATAAAATTTAGGAAGATGTATATAAACAATGAAATGAACTATTTAATGATTATATTAGAATATTCCTATTTCAATTTATCTTAGTCATTTAGACTCCTCTATATTATATAACATCTTTCTTAAAAGTAGTAATTTAGCCCTAGCCAGTTTGGCTCAGTAGATAGAGTGTTGGCCTGTAGATTGAAGAGTCCCAGGTTCGATTCTGGTTAAGGGCACATGCCTGAGTTGTGGGCTTGATCCCCAGTAGAGGGTGTGCAAGAGGCAGCCGATCAATGATTCTCTCTAATCGTTGATGTTTCTATCTCTCTATCCCTCGCCCTTCCTCTCCGAAATCAATAAAAAAAAATTTAAAAAAATAAATAAATAGCCCTCATTTTTGCTGTGAAAATAACTAACACAATCCTTTTTTTAAAAAAAATCATAGGAAGCCCTGGGGAGATAGATAATTACTGTTATTTTTATTATTTATATATTTATTTATATACTTAACAAGGCATATAATTATGATTTTTTGCTAATATCTGGGTATTCTCTTTCAAACAGATGCATTTTTTACTTATTGAATTTATTGGGCTGACATTGGTTTAATAAATTATATAGGTTTCAAGTGTACAGTTCTATAATGCATCATCTGTATGTTGTATTGTGTGTTCATCCTCAGTCAAGTCTCTTTCCGTCACCATTTATCTCCCCTTTACTCTCTTCTACCTACCTCTACTGTTGCCTCTGACAATGAGTGTTTTGTTTTGTTTTGGTTTGGTTTGATTTTTGCTTAATCCCTTCACCATTTTTTATCCACTATTATGTTTAAAATAGCATTTCACATCATTTCAGATTTTTTGTACTTAACATTATTATTTTTCTATATTGTCATCACATATTTTAAAATCATACATATCAACTTCTTTGAGTCATCAGAGTGTTCTTCTTTTAAGGCATTGCCCCAAACACAATGTTAGCAAAAGTATGCAGTGATAAGAATAAACCAAATGGACAATACCAAATTCTCCCCAAAAGACAAGCTGTGATGGACTTCATCAAGGACTTACCCATTAGAAAGGTGAGATTTTTATATAAAATTGATCATACTCTGAGTTCTGAAGAGATACTATTTAGTAGGATAGTAATTGTTAGCTGAAAGGTTTTAAAACAGTAGGTAACAAGAACTATACTGGATGATTGAATTTGGATTTGAAGAAATCTTTCTATTAAACCCTTAAATTGAGGTTTAGGATCTTATTTGCTGGAAAGTTTTAAGTAAGTAATAGATGGCAGACTTTTCAGTGTACCCTTGCCAAGGAAAATAAAAATAAAAGGGATACTGGTAAGAATCCTTTCAGCTGTAACTCATATACAATCTTAGTTCTAAAGTACAGGTTGCTTCCTGATTAATAAGTATGATACTTGAAAAAGATTTAGAATTTTAATTGTTTTGACAAAAACAAACAAGTTAAAACACTTTACCATCTTTAAAAAATGGTAAAATGATCCCTTAGGAGTTATAGAAAGGAGACTACATTTTATTTTTAAAGTTTCTAGATTTTTCTGCATATTTATGCTTCGTAAACAATAATTGCATATACTTTTTGATGTGCTAGGACTTGCTTTTCTCACAACATAATGTATATGAGTGAATTTAAATAAAGCATTTCTCAATGCTCAGAAGAAAGGCTATATCAAAATATATAATGTATAATGATTACTGACTAGCTTAGTATATAAGGTGTAGCTATAAAGCAGTATTTTCCAATCTGGTTTTTAAGGTATGAGTAGGTATTCTATAAAAAAGGCTCTAGGGCCGAAACCGGTTTGGCTCAGTGGATAGAGCATCGGCCTGTGGACTGAAGGGTCCCAGGTTCGATTCCGGTCAAGGGCATGTACCTGGGTTGCGGGCACATCCCCAGTAGGAGATGTGCAGGAGGCAGCTGATCGATGTTTCTCTCTCATCGATGTTTCTAACTCTCTATCTCTCTCCCTTCCTCTCTGTAAAAAATCAATAAAATATATTTAAAAAAAAAAAAAAGGCTCGAGGGTCAAATAACTATAAAATCTACCACCCTTATGAGTCACAAAGATACTAACTAGTATATTAAAGATTCATAAGTGTGGCAGTGAAAATTTCAATTCAAATTTGTTTATCCCACCATTCCCTAAATTTGCCTGACTACAGAACTCCTTATTTTTTTTTAATTATTTTATTTTATTTTATTTATTTATTTTTGTTAATCCTCACCCAAGGATATTTTCACATTGATTTTCAGAAAGAGTGAAGGGAGGGGGAGTGACAGAGAGAGACAAACATGGATGTGAGAGAGACACATCCATTGGTTGCTTCCCGCATGCGCCCTGGCCAGGGCTGGGGGTTGGGGGGGGGCGGGGCAAATCTGCAACCAAGGTACGTGCGTGGCCTTGAACGGAATTGAACCTACAGCCCTTCAGTTGGAGGGCCGATGCTCTCTAGCCACTGAGCCAAATCCACCAGTGCAGAACTCTTTATTTTAATGCTTTTAAAATTTTCATGCAATTTTAAATTTAAGTTTTCCATGGAACACTAGTTTAGGAAATGTGGCCAAAAAGAAATTAAAGCAGTTTTCTTATGAAGATAGTTATATTATTCATGTTTTTTATTGATTATAAAAGGTATAATGAGATTATAATATCAGTTCTTGCTTTAACTTAAAAATGTATTAATAATAAATATTGATTCTCTTCTAGGTTTCTGGAATAGGAAAAGTTACAGAGAAAATGTTAAAGGCCCTAGGAATTATTACTTGCACTGAACTCTACCAACAGAGGGCATTACTTTCTCTTCTTTTTTCTGAAACATCTTGGCATTATTTCCTTCATATTTCCATGGGTCTAGGTTCAACACACCTGACAAGGTATCTATATGTATATTCATTCTGCTTTCTCTTTTTCTTTCCTTTTTTTTTTTAACTTTATTTTTATTGTTGACACTATTACAGATGTCCCCATTTTCTCCCCCTTTGTCAACTTCCACCCAGCCCCTGCCCTTTCCTGCCCTATGGCCATTACCATAACTACTGTCTATGTCTGTGGGATAACAGTTTTAATCATTGAAGTGGAGCCTGTAAGGATAACATGTTTTAAAATTATCTTAGGTTGGTTCAATTTAGAATATAATTTTAAAATTAGAGTCCAACGACTGGATGTGGGAGAAAAGGAAAAGACGAATAAAGAATCACTTCTAGGCTGTTGGCTACAGCAATTGGATAGATGAACAAGAGAATGATAGGCACTTTCTTTTCTGCCTTGTGCTTTGTTTAGAACATAAGAATACTACGCCAAAACCGGTTTGGCTCAGCGGATAGAGCGTCTGCCTGCGGACTGGGGGGTCCCGGGTTGGATTCCGGTCAGGGGCATGTGCCTGGGTTGTGGGCACGTCCCCGGTGGGAGATGTGCAGGAGGCGGCTGGTCGATGTTTGTCTCTCATCGAAGTTTCTAACTCTCTATCTCTCTCCCTTCCTCTCTGTAAAAAAATCAATAAAATATACTTTAAAAAAAAAAAAAAAGAACATAAGAATACTAGAACACTGGTGGTCTATGCCATGTGTAATCATATTAACATCTTACCTGTCTACATTATTTGGGTGATAGTTTTATTTTTAGATTTTAAAAACTCACTGTTTTTCATGATGTATAAATTTGGTACATTAAATCCTCTTGTTTGACTTAAAGGAACTCAGTCTTCGAGGAAGCAAATAAAACCTTTTTTTTCTTCATTCAAGGGATGGAGAGAGGAAAAGCATGAGTGTCGAGAGGTAATATTTTGATATTATTGTTCATAATTAATGCTATTTTAAACTAACTTTTAATTTTTAGGAAAGTATCACTGAAATTTAAAAATCTATTTTCAAACCTCAGAACAATTTTCAGCATGTCACACTCCTGAAGTAAGTGTCCCAGTACACTGCTGTATTACCTTCACTTGCTATTCTCTCAATGGAAAAAAGTACACTGCAGTTATTTATTTTTTCTTCCCCCCCCCCCATCCCTGCAGTTATTTTTTTAATGTTTTTTTTCCCCTGTTCAGTGAAAACCAAGCATTTTAGGATTCCAAATCTTAATATCTAGACTTTATAAGAAAAATTATACTCAGAGATTATTTGGTAAATTTAAGACATAACAATGGAAATTCTTCCTAAAACTCTTCAAATATTGGTGAATGAGCAGAGGCATCAAATAATAAGATATTGATGAAAGAGCTTAGAGATTATCTGTTTCATTGGTTTACAATATTGTTCAGACATCAAATGAAATCTTGATGGAAACCTTATTGTTTTGGGGAATATGTCATTGTTGAAAAGTCCCTCAATTTTCTCCTCAAAGCACCAAAGTTCCACTGAGACATTTAAGAACCACTGACCTAGTACAGAGTTATATTAATACTAGTTATATTAATGACTGAAAAAAATTGCTTTGAGGCTTAGATTTACATATAAGCACTTAAAGGAAAAGAGGGGAAATAAGCATCCAAGAATGAGATAGTATTGTCCTATTTAATGAACTGTCACTATCCATTGGTGGTTTTAATCATCTTTTAAAAAATTATAGAGAGCCCTATCTGGTTTGGCACAGTGGATAGAGCGGCCTGCAGACTGAAGGGTCCTGGGTTTGATTCTGGTCATGGGCACAGGCCCAGGTTGCCGGCTTGATCCCCAATAGGGGGCATGCGTAAGGCAGCCAATCAGTGATTCTCTCTCATCATTGATGTTTCCATTTCTCCCTTCCTCTCTGAAATCAATAAAAATATATTTTAAAAAATTATAGAGAGAGCAAAAGTATAAAAGTACACTTTTACTGTCCCAGCTGGTGGCTCAGTTGGTTGGAGCATTCTCCCATACACCCAAAAGGTTGTGGATTTGATTCTTGGTCAGGGCACATACCTAAGTTGTGGGTTCCATCCCTGGTCGGGGCATATACAGGAAGCAACCGATAAAACTGATCCATGTCCCTCCTTCACCCCTTCTCCCTCTTCCTCCCCCTCCCTCACATCAAGAAAAACATATCCTTGGGTGAAGATTAAAAATAAAAAGTACACCTTTGCTAATCAGCTTAACTATCTAAATGATCTTCAATTATTAAGTAGATCTTAAATGCTTTTCACTTAATTATGTCTTAATTCATCTGAAAACTTTATTCTGTACTGCAGGAAATATAACTAAATTATCCTGAATTATATTTTACTTTGTGCACCAAAATCATTCTTGTCTTTCTAGGACATTCAGTGAGATAAGTAAAGCAGAAGAACAGTACAAGTTGTGCCAAGAACTTTGCAGTGAACTTGCTCAAGATCTGCAGAAAGAAGGACTTAAGGTACTTTATTTTAGTGTAGTGTTCTTAGTTTTAAGTTTTTCTAGTAATAAAATGCACTTTAATGCAAGAATTAGACTTTGAATACAAAGTGGGAAATGTCAGATAAGAGTATTCTCATCACCAGCAAAGAAATTTAATTCTGACCCTTAGTTGAAGCCTGTGATAAGGTCATTCTGTGAAGAAGCAACTTATAGGGTAGAGTGGTTCCAGTATAACTCCCGAGGAGTTTATACTGTCTCAGGAATACATTTGAATAAGTTCAAAATCAGAGTTATATTAATATTAGAGAATAAAGCAAAGGGAGAAGGATTTTCCCAGAACTGTATTAACATTATAAATGTCTTTTCAGTCATCTTTACTGTTTTTCTCTTATAGACAGTGACTTTCTAGAGTAAGCATTTTGTTTCAAGGCTCTAATGCAGGTTGTTTAACACATTGAGAACAAAATCTGGAAGGCTTTGAACTTTGTGTTTATAATCTTCACTCAAAACAATCTGTATTTACTGTTTTTCCAATACTCTCAAACCAGTTATTCAGAGTTATTACAAAATGTAATGGTGATTACCAGAGGGAAAGAGGAGGTGGTGGGAGGTAGAAAAGGGTAAGGAAGGGATAAATGGTGCGGGAAGGAGACTTGACTTGGAGTGGTGAGTATACAATACAATATACAGATGATGTATTATAGAATTGTACGCCGAAACCTATAATTTTATTAACCGCTGTTACCACAATAAATTCAATAAAAAATTTTAAGTATTAGGACATTATCACAAAGCATAGGATAATTAATTGATGAGTATTTTCTTATCATTTTTCTCTGTCATACTTTGATTGTAAAAAGAATTGATTTTTTTCAATGTTTAAATAATTTTCTTTTTAATCCTCACCTGAGGATATGTTTTTATTGACTTGAGAAAGAGAGAGAGAGAGAGAGAGAGAGAAACATCAGTGTGTGAGAGAAACATTGATCAGTTGCCTCCATACACCCCAACCGGGGATCACACCTGCAAGCCAGATATGTGCACTGACCAGGAATTGAACCCACAACCTTTTGGTGTATGAGATGATGCTCCAACCAACTGAGCCACCCAGCCAGGGCCATTAAATAAACTTTTAATTTTAGAATCATTTTTAGATTTACAGAAAAATTGCCAAAATACTATAAAGAATTACAGTATACCCAGTTTTCCTCATTATTTACTTCTTGTATTGCCAGAGTATATTTTTCAAAACTAAGAAACTGACATTAGCACATTGCTATTAACTAAACTGCAGAATTTATTTTTCCATTAATGTTCTCTCTCTGTTCCAGGATTCAGTCCAGGGAACCACATTGCATTTAGTTGTCATGTCTTCTCAGTCTTCTCTAGTCTATGATAGTTTCTCAGTGTTTCCTTGTTTTACATGACCTTGATTGTCTTGAGAAATAGTGGCCAGATACCCTGCAGAATATCTCCCAACTTGAGTTTGTCGGGTAGTTTTCTTTAGATTAGACTATGGTTATGAGTTATAGAAAGAATATCACAGAGGTAAAATGTCCTCATCACATCCTATGTGGTACAGTAGTCCCCCACCCCTTAGCTGAGATTTTGCTTTCCACAGTTTCAGTTATCCACAAACTGAAAACATTGAATGGAAAATTCTTGAAATTAATCAAATCTTAAGTTTTACATTGTACATCGTTCTTAGTAGTGTAATGAAATCTCATGCTGTCCTGCTCCAACCTGCCGGGGATGTGAATTATCCCTTTGTCCAGCATGTCCACACTGTATATGCTACTTGCTGGTAATCACTTAATAGGAGTCTTAGTTAGCAGATTGTTTATAAGAGAGAGAGAAAGAGATCACATTCACATAACTTTTATTACAGTGTATTTTAATAATTGTCCTATTTTATTATTAGTTATGTTGTTAATCTCTTACTGTGCCTAACTTATAAATGAAACTTTATCATGAGTATGTATGTATAGGAAAAAACATAGTATATATAGATAGGGTTCAGTGCTATCTGCAGTTTCCGGCATCCACTAGGCGTGTTGGAACATTTACCCACAGATAAGGGGGAGCTACTTTATTTGATAGCTACATGATGTCATGGGAGATGCTAACCTTCATCCCTTGGTTATGGTAGTTCTCCATTGTGAAGTTACTATTTTTCCCTTTCTATTCACTATTCTTTGGAAGTGAGTCAATAAATCTAATCTACTCTCACTACCTCCACGAGGTAGTAAAATATATGTAACATAAAATTTACTGTTTTGACCATTTTTAAGTGTACATTTCAGTGGCACTAAGAACATTCACACTGCATAGCCATCAGCACTGTCTATCTCCAGAACTCTTTCATATCCCAAACTCTGTACCCATTTAACATTAATTTTAAAGGGAGCTCTAACATGTAAATTGTTTAGCATAGTATCTGTTGTATACTAGGCACACAATAAGTATGAGCTAGCCACAGACCTTTTCACTGAGGCTCTATTAGAAAGATTTTTTTCCTTCCTTATTAGATACTGAATTGACCTCTAAAAGAGCTTGGTGAAAAAGAAAAATGATTACTTAACTTTGCCCTTTATATAAAAGTCCCTTATAAAAATTCATTTGGAGAGGAGAGTAATAATTATTGGTTAAAATGGGATTTTTTAATTACTTTTGGATTTCAGTTATTCTTTATGACAATTTTATTACTATGTTTTAGAAATAATTGATTATACTTTCATATTATATGTACATATGAGAGCTTTATGAGTTTTTCTAACCTGTAAAATAACTTTTTTTTCCAGAAGTTAGCAAGCCATATGTAATGTATTCTGCTTATTATAGGGTAGAACTGTTACCATTAAGCTGAAGAATGTGAATTTTGAAGTAAAAACTCGTGCATCTACAGTTTCATCTGTTGTGTCTACTGCAGAAGAAATATTTGCTATTGCTAAAGAATTGCTAAGAACAGAAATTGATGCTGATTTTCCACATCCCTTGAGATTAAGACTTATGGGTATGACTTTTCTTTTCTTGCTTTTCCTTAAATAACTAGACTTTCCTAAAGAATCAACTTTGGAAATATTCTCACCTCCAATTTTTTTCTTAAAACTGTTTAGGAATTTGTACTTACGCTGCTGCCATTTTTCTTAATGCGTAGAACCTGATGCATATGAAGCTATGATAATTAATTTAATTCCAGTAAGAACCAATAAAAGTTGTCCTTCTCCTTACAAATATTGAAATCCTTGGGGCTAGGCTTTTCAGATTTTAGAAAACATACTGAGTATATTTTGTAATACTCCTTTGAGATCTGAGGAAACACTTCATGTTCAAACACATTAATATTTTTGTAGCAAAACAAAAAATATTCACACTGAGTCGTAAAAACTCTAAAGGGTTTATTATAAGCAACCATATGTTGCTTGCAATTTATCTGGGCTTTTTGGATTTCAGAATTACAGATGAGGGACTAAAGCACTATTTAGCCACCACATGGTAGGAAAAAAATTAAACAAAAACAACAAAGAAACCGTATTTCTAAAGTGAATTGGGTAAGAGAATGTTTATGGATAAGCACCCCAAATGCCAACTTAGTATATTACTAAGAGTGGGTCATTAGCCATATTTTCATATATGAAAGACAGCAGCTGCAGAGTTCAATTAAATAAAGTATATTAACTAAAAAGAACTAAGAATAGATGTTAATAGCAGCTTTATTCATAATTGCTAAAACTTGGAAGCAACCAAAATGTCCTTCAGTAGTAGGTCAACGGAGACTGTGGTACCTCCCTACAATAGAATATATTTAGCCATAAAAAAACCCGAGCTATTTCCCTGGCCGGTGTTGCTAAGTGATTAGAGCATTGGGTTAGACCCACGCACCAAAAGGTCTCGGGTTCGATTTTCAGTCAAGGGCATGAACCTGGGTTTCAGGTTCATCCCACCCCAGTTGGGCACTGTTCAGGTGGCAGCCAATTGATGTGTCTCTCTCACATCAATGTTTCTCTCTCTCTCTCTCTCTCTCTCTCTCTCTCTCTCTCTCTCTCTCTCTCTCTCTCCCCCTCCTTCTTTCCCTCCCTCCCCCCTCCCTCTCTCTCTAAAAAGCAATGGAAAAAATATCCTCAGATAAGGATTAACAAAATAAGAAACAAAAAGAAATGAGCTATCAAACCATGAAAGACATGGAGGAATCTTAAGTGTATGTTATTAACTAAAAGAAGCCAATCTGATAAGCCTACATACTGTATTATTCCAACCATATAACATTCTGGGAAAGATATGTAGACACTAAAAATATCAGTAGTTATCAAGAGTTGGTGGGAAGGGAGGAATGAACAGGCAGAACACAGAGGATTTTTAGGGCAGTGAAGCTATGCTATACGATGCTATGAAGGTAGTAGATACATATCATTATACATTTGTCAAAACCTATAGAATGTGTAACACCCAAAATGAATCCAATATAAACTATGGACTTTGACTGATAATGTTGTGTCAGTATAGGTTCACTGGTTGTAACATATGTACAATTCTGGTGGGGGTTGTTGATATATGTGTATATAAGTACTACCCCCACACATATACACATGGGAACTCTGTACTTGTTGCTTAGTTCTGCTGTCAACCTATAAATTGCTCTAAAAACTAAAACCTATTGGAAAAAAGGAGCTAAAGTATCTATGTAGTTGACTCCCAACTAGTTACTCGGTATTTATTAAATGGTATCATATGTTAAGATGTTAATTGAAAGACCCATATAATCGTCTAACTCAAATAGATACCTACTAATTAGTAATACCCAGTTTTATAAAGGAAAGCATATATTTCAACTCAAAATGCCAGCTTCGGAAAAACATCCTTTAATTCCGAAAATATACAGTGTTGCTTATTATTTATCTCGGAACAGCCTTTTGTAAATATGTCATAACAGTACTTGCAAAATGTTTTTATGAATTATGAGTGAATTGGCTTTTAAATTTGAAATTGACTAATTGTGCTTGGTTTAATTTAGGTGTGCGGCTCTCTAGTTTTCCCAGTGAAGAAGATAAGAAACACCAACAACGGAGTATTGTTGGTTTCTTACAGGCTGGAAACCAAACCCTGTCAGCCACTGGGTGTATAGAGAAAACTGACAAAGATCAGTTTTTAAAACCTGTAGAAATGTCTCATAAGAAGAGTTTCTTTGATAAAAAACGATCGGAAAGGAAATGGAGTCACCAAGACACATTTAAATGTGGAACTGTGAATGGACAAGGTGTACAGACATCACAGCCATTCCAAGTTTTAAAGACGACGAGTGCGAATTTAGAAACATCAGAGAGTTCAAGTAACAATCAGACATTTACCTGCCCTGTTTGCTTCAGGGAGCAAGGAAGCATCAGTCTGGAAACCTTTAATAAACATGTAGATGCATGTCTCGGTGGACCTTCGGTGAGTGAAATGTTCTCATGTTCACATGTTTCCTCTACAGAAGTTAAAGAAAATGTACATCGTTCTTTTTCACTCGGTGAGAAGCAGGATTCTGAAACCCATCAGGAGAATACAGAAATCACTTCAGAAGATTGTGTCGAGTTGGTAGAGACTGTATGTAATCCATCTGAAACCGAAAGTGTAGATGCTTTAAGTAATAAGCTCAGCAAAGAGGAACATTCTAGTCTTCCAAGCACATCGTTTAATATTGAACGCTGTCATCAGAATTCTTCTTGTACTGTTTCATTACAAAATGAAGATTCCGGGTCACTGAGGAGGCAAGAAACCCTCCAGCCTCGTTCATATGAAGTGATAACAGACCAGGTTCTAATTTGTCCTGTTTGTAACCTAGAGCAAAAGACTTCAGATCTTACCCTGTTCAATGTGCATGTGGATATTTGCTTAAATAAAGGCATTATCCAGGAACTGGAAAAGGATAAAGTTAATCCAGTATATCAGCCCAAAGAAAGCACCAAAAGTACTGGTAAGTTTACAGTAATTTTAAAGAACTTTATTTTCCAGGAGTGTTTTATTAAAATTGGGATCATTGTTAAACCTTAAACACATAATATTAAAGTGACAGTTTATTTAGGTGCCTGTTAGTTACCTTATTATAAGTTAGAATGGATTGAAACCTTTAGATTTTAAATTCAGGGGAAACTTTCATTTGGGTTTGATTTAGCACAGAATGAACTCAGAAGTTTAAGGAGCTGAGTGATATAACAAAAAAAGAAATATCCTTCAGAGAACATTTGTCAAGGCACAGCGGTAAATTAACAATAACTTACATAGCCAGAAAGCCTCTTTAACTTGTTCTTTGATAGTTCTGACTCTGGCCAATTTTCAAAAATAAAATTAAGTGTAACACTAATAAAATAATTATAAAGAAATTATGCTATCAAGTTAGTTTCTGGTATGTATAAATATGAACTGTGTAATACTAAAGAATTTTTTATTATCAAATTACAATTTTTTTTTCCTGCCAGAACCCTAGTTAATACATTGCTCTGGGAAAACTATTGAACATATTCCCTAGGAAGCATGTATACTAGTAAGAATGCTCATAGTAGTACTATACTAGTAATAGCCAAGAATTGGAAATAAACCAAATATTCAGCAGTGGTGAGATGGTTACATTCTGTCATTGTATATTCCAATCCAGTCAGCTCTAACTTTTTACATTTTTATGCAACCCTTTAATTATTTCTTATTATTCACTATGGAATTTTTTCATTTTTCTTCCCTCTAAAGGTAACTCAGGCAGAGTACAGAAGACCATAACAAAACCCAAAAGGTATGGCTAATTTGAGTCTTAATAAAGCTAGCTATAAAAATCATATTTTGAGGTTGAATTTTTAGATGTTAACATTTTCTTTTATATTAAGTACAATTTTAAAAAAATCAATTATTTGCAAAATTATTTTTTTTAAATCTCTTTCTGCATTTTAATTTGTTGTTGTTTTTTAATTCCAGGTCAGGATCGATGACAAAATCCTCAACAGCAAAGAAAATAAAACCAAACAATCCCAGAAACACCCTGGATATCTTTTTTAAGTGAACATTGAACATTTAAATTGAAACTTGTTTTTATAATCATTGAGCTATTCCTCATTTTAAGTTTACAGATTCATTTAGTGAATGGCCAATGCAGCAATCTCTCCCCAATATTTCCTGTACATGAATTTGGAATATATACTAATTTACTTCTGTATACCTTTTTGATATCATAAGAATTGCACTTCCTGTTAGAGATATTTTTACAATGAGAAATTAAGGAATGGGATCAAAAATTGATTTCTGTGTTTATTAAGTTTTATAGTGAATATAAAATCATATTTGTAAGGGCTCTCAGAGGTGCACAGAAACCCTTTTTAGCATAAGAACTTTTCAGCACTTAACCATTTGTTGGCACTGGTCTGCTATATGTAACCGTAGTGTCTTCTACAATTTTGTATATTCGTATTTTAGCTCCTCGTACCTTCAGATACCTCATGAGCATTCATAATTAATATTTATCATGCATACTATGAAGAATATTAGCAGGACTAGAATAAGTGGTTCTGTTCCTTTTAGGATAATATCACAGTATCATTTTCTGTGTTAAAAAATTTTGCTTAAATATGACTATTCATTTGATTTTTTAATTTAAAATTCCTTCTTATAAATAAGCACTTGATCCACTTTAAAAATTTTTTGTCTAAGATATAAAGTAATTATTTTCTTATCTAGAACTTTAAATGACAATTATGTCTGTACTCTACACAAATCTATAAAGAATAAATTGTACATTCACTTTATTTTTATATAACCTTCTAGAGAAAAATGTATAAAAGATGAATGTGTATTATAATAGCTCATTTATCTTAGTTATATTTATGTCATGTTTTTATTAATATTTCTGAAAGAAGACAGCTTAACAGTAAGTAGTTAACTTAAGTAGTTTCTCCAGATAATTTAGTGCTCAGTAAGAGTTTTTATCATTAAGAAGTATTTAATTGAAACATGAAGATGATGGTCATTTTGTGGCTGTTTTAAAGAAACAAATCTTTTGTTCTCTTATATCTCTTGTGTGTTTTTCAATTGTAGATAGCACCATATTTGTTTACTACCTTCCCTCAATTTTATATTTATTGTGTTTTCAACATTAAATACTAAATTATTTTCATTTAGATGATTTATTTGAATGTTATTTAGTCATATTTAATAATAATTCAAAATAAAATTTAAAATATGTAGTCGATCTTTTAGCCAATAGAAATGGTTTCCTTCCTTTCCACTCTTTTTCCATCTTAGTGCTTTACTTTTATTTTCTTTGCTAAAAATTCTCTTCACATCCTTTTCTGTTTAATCTAATTCCTCCAACTCATTTTCTTTTCTATTATAATTTTCCTTTGGGGCATTTCTAGAAAATACAGCAAAGCTACAAAGTATAAGCATTTATAATCTTATCTACTTAATAGGGTCAGGATATAAGGAAGGACTTGGGAGAACATATTTGTAGCACAATAACTGAGAAAAAAACTAGTATCCAGAGTATATAATCCAGAATATATAAATGACTTCAATGAATCAGGAAAAGAAAAAAGACAGCCAATAGAAATTTGGATAAAAGACTTTAAATGGCACTTGACATAAAAAGAAATATAAATAGCCAAGAAACATGCACATATTCTCAGTCATTTTAGTAATAGGGAAATGAAAAGTAAAAACACAAAGAGGTGTCATTACAACCCTACCAGATGCACAAAAATGAAAAAAGGGTTCATTGTTCTGTTCATGATTTGGAGCAACATGAACTCTTACTTTGAAAACAATCACTTTGGAAAACAGTTTGCCTTTCTCAACAACCCAGCAACTGCACTCCTAAATATACACCTTTCCTGGTTATTTTATCTTTCTTTTTTTAAAATATATTTTCATTGATTTTTAGAGAGAAAGGAAGGAGAGGGAGATAGAAACATCAATGATGAGGAAATCATTGATCAGCTGCCTCCTGCATGCTCCCTACTGGGGATTGAGCCTGCAACCTGGGCATGTGCCCTGACCAGTAATCGAATCGGTGACCACTTGGTTCATGGGTCAACATTCAACCACTGAGCCACACTGGCTGGGCTCCTGGTTATTTTCTATTTTTCCTCCAGATCACACTTTGCCCTTCAGTACCCTGCGTTATGTCCATCAGGGTGTCATGGCAACGGGCAAGCCACTGCAGAAGATTTGAGGGAAGAAGAAAGGTGAAGTTGCGTATTTAGTCCTTCATGTACCTTTTTGTTAAGTCCCTTGACCTAAGGTCACAACCTATTGTAGGTGTCCATCTTCATATTGCATTCTCTGCTCGCTCTCCAGGTGCTAATAATCCGTTTCTTTCCTCACCTCTTCAGCCTAGGAGTGGCAACAGAGCCTTGCTCTTAATAGCCCTGGGGTGCTGCACTACCCTTTATGGTTTCCCCATACCCTGGGGAAATGGTCCCTTTCTTAAACTCATCTCAAATTACAATTTTTTTTTTTTTTTTAAATATATTTTATTGATTTTTTACAGAGAGGAAGGGAGAGAGATAGAGAGCTAGAAACATCGATGAGAGAGATACATCGATCAGCTGCCTCCTGCACATCTCCCACTGGGGACATGCCCGCAACCCAGGTACATGCCCCTGACCGGAATCGAACCTGGGACCCTTCAGTCCGCAGGCCGACGCTCTATCCACTGAGCCAAACCGGTTTCGGCTCAAATTACAATTTTTTTTTTCCTGCCAGAACCCTAGTTAATACATTGCTCTAGGAAAACTCTGGGAATACTATTGAACATATTCCCTAGGAAGCATGTATACTAGTAAGAATGCTCATAGTAGTACTATACTAGTAATAGCCAAGAATTGGAAATAAACCAAATATTCAGCAGTGGTGGGATGGTTACATTCTGTCATTGTATATTCCAACAATAGAATTCTACACAGTGGTGAAAAATCAGAATGTGGATGGATATCACAAAGATAATGTGGAGCAAAAGAAGCAAGTAATAGAAGGATGCCATCAGCATGATTCTATTTATATAAAATTCAAAACAGTTAAAGCTAGACTATATTGTTTTAAAGATGTATCCATATGAAATCAAAGTATTTTAAAAAGCAAGAGTGTTGTTTTCCCAATGGTTAGAATAATGATTTCCTCTAAGTGAAGGTAGGCGAATGTGATTGGGCAGTGGCACCTGGAGCTTCTGGGATGCTGGCAGTGTTCTGTTCCTTGTCTTGTGAGGTGATTGTATGGATGTTCATTAAAAAATATTCTTTAAGCTGTACAAATATATTTTATGCACTCTTGTTCATATGTGACCTATATCACAATAAAAAAAAAATGGTAGAAACTGTTTTGCTCATCTGCCTTTTCCTCCATCTCTGCAGGCTACTAACTTCAATAGAGAAAAAAGTACATTTCTCTCTCCTAGGACTTTGCTGAACACAGCAAGCAAGTGCCATCCTATAACAACATTTTGAGTTTTTCTTCTAATACTTCCCCTAATACTACAGCCTCAATCAGCATTTGGTCTGCCTTCCAAAGGACAGCAGTTGACAATTTGACCTAATACTTTGTCACCATCAAATAAGTCACCAGCTTTTCAGCCAGTGATATTTGTGTCCCCACTGCCCAAAGTCCTCCCTCAAACACTAAGCCAATTCTTTACATTAGGTTTTGTTACTTGCAGCACCCTGCTTTCTGTATGAGTTCAGAATTTCACTTCAGCTGTGAGTTACAAAGGCCCAAATGAGAGCTTTTTAAAAAAAAATCCGTTTTAATTTTCACTTGAAGCCTCCGATTTTCTTGGCCTCACGCAGTCAATTACAGGTCACAAGATGGGCTTTTCCACATCCAACCCTACATGTGAGTTCCAGGTAGGAGGACAAGAAAGTGAAAATTACAAAAGGGCAACAAATTTGTCCCTCTTTAAGGAGCTTTCCCGGAAACCCCACATAATTTTCACATATCTCAAACTGTCATATTGTAGGGCAACTAATAAGGATTCCCCAGATAGGGAACTGGGAAATGGAGTTTTTAGCTGGGTCCATTGCTACCCCAAACTGAATCAGGGTCTGTTAGTAATTCTACCTGTACCATAAAAAAATTCCTATTGAAAACTAGATAAATTATCACATTGGTGACATTTTAGAAGCATTTCTTAGAAATAACACAGGGTGCCCTCATTATTTTTTTGGAGGTCCTAGCCAATTTAATAAATCATATGAATGAAAACTGGAAACAAAAATAAAACTTTATTGTCAGTGTGTTTGTCTATATATTTTTTAAAAAATCTAGTTAATAAGAGTTCAACAAGGTTATGACTACAAGATCAATATGTAAAATGAATAGCATTCCTAGACCATAATAACCAATTAGAAGTTATAATAAAAATAATCTCTTACAGGACTACGATCTACAAGATACCTAAATGGCAGGTATCTATCAAAAAATATGCAAGAACTTGGGAACTACAAAATATTACTGAAAGATCAATAGTACATCTGAGGAAATGAAAAAGTAACTTCATGATAGGAAGGATGGTAAAACTTGTCCCCAAATTTTTCTATAAATTCAGTGAAAATAAAAACAAAATCCCTCATGTTTTTTCTTGGGAGTTAAGTAGATCCTAAATGTTATATGGGAAAGCAAAAGCTCAAGAATAAGAAGGTAGAAGCACAGGTCCTATTACATACCAAGATTTATTATAAAGCTATAGTAACATTATTTATTATAAAGCTATAGTGTTACTATAGCTTTATAATAAATCTGGGGCACAAAATGTTCTCTTGTATAATTAAATAATCACTTTTGCTTTGTAATACACAATTGGGTTAGCAGTTCGACAAAAACTCAAATGATATGGTGAGAATTGGAAACATTCCATTTACTAAGCAAACTATAATATTGAAATTGTCCCCCTTACAAATGTGAGTTAATTTGTGACAATCTTAGTATCTCATTGTTGCTGTCTACAGAAGGTTCAGGGCGACAGAAGGTAATCCAGAAGCAAATGGTGATAAACCTCTCTAACTGCAGTCTCTTAAATTTACTATGATTTCAAACATATATATATACCTGGATACACACACACACACACACACACACACACACACAAAACCTCTGCCAAACTCATGTCTACTATTGAATTCTGCCTACCTTTGTGGGGCCTCTTGAAAACATCCACTACTTTCTATACCTTTTATCAACCCCTTAGCAGTTACCTAATCTCTGGCTTTCCAACTCATTTTTCAATTTTCATCAGTTTCTCTCCCTTCTCTCTCTCTCTCTCTTTTTAAACATTTAATCACCTTTATTTATTGTTTGTTTGTTTTTGTTAATCCTCACCCAAGGATATTTTTTCCATTGACTTTTAGAATGGAAGAGAGAGGGAAAGACATAGAGAAACATTGATGTGAGAGAAACATCGATGTGAGAGAAAACACATGGATTGGTTGCCTTCTGCAGGAGCCCTAACCAGGGCCCGGCTAGGAGGAGCCTGCAACCAAGGTACATGCCTTTGACTAGAATCAAAAGGGAGAGCAGACTGATGTTCTATCCACTGAGCCAAACCGGCCAGGGCTCTCCCTTCTCTTAGGTCCTGCACCCGAGCATCTGTGTCCACACATACCAAACAGGTGGGGTAGTTCTGGGGTCAAATCTAGTTTTGTTATGAGGGCTTAATTTTTTTTTCACTCCTAGAATATGCGACACTTCCAGTGTGCCTGCTGGAGCCGTCCCACAGGTGTGAGTGGGTTGGTTTGGTTGTAATCCATTAGACACGCCATGGGATTCCGGCAGAGGTCCTGGTTGTCCTTCAGTATTCCACTTTCCTTGCATATTATTAGAACTTTAGCTAGGCACATGGTGGCCAAAGTAGATGACTGTGTCTCACCAATTCGTTATTGTACAAACTACCAAGGAAGTGACAATACCCAAGACGAGGAGCCCAGTAAGGTACAGCCGCATTGAAATGGGACACCAAGGCTTACACCGAACGAGAAGAACTTGAGAGTGTCCCTCTATTCCGAAGAAAGTCCTGGAAGCCCATGCAGAAATGGGTTAGTGCTGAAGTTCCGATCCAAATCGTGCGAAGAATTGCTGGAGAACGAGCGGGTTTCCTCCGAATGTTTTCTTCAGGGAAAACCGAACCATGTCACGTGCGCGCCACACCTGCGCGACCTCACACCTGTGCAGCCGGCGGCCGCTCACAGATCCCGGACCCGGACTCGGACTCGGACTCGGGCGGACCTCACACCTGTACAGCCGGCCGGCGCCCACAGAACCCGGACCCGGACTCGGACTCGGACTCGGACTCGGGCGGACCTCACACCTGTGGAGCCGGCCGGCGCCCACAGAACCCGGACCCGGACCCGGACCCGGACCCGGACTCGGACTCGGACTCGGGCGGACCTCACACCTGTGCAGCCGGCGGCCGCTCACAGATCCCGGACCCGGACTCGGACTCGGACTCGGGCGGACCTCACACCTGTGCAGCCGGCCGGCGCCCACAGAACCCGGACCCGGACCCGGACCCGGACCCGGACTCGGACTCGGACTCGGGCGGACCACACACCTGTGCAGCCGGCGGCCGCTCACAGATCCCGGACCCGGACTCGGACTCGGACTCGGGCGGACCTCACACCTGTACAGCCGGCCGGCGCCCACAGAACCCGGACCCGGACTCGGACTCGGACTCGGGCGGACCTCACACCTGTGGAGCCGGCCGGCGCCCACAGAACCCGGACCCGGACCCGGACCCGGACTCGGACTCGGACTCGGGCGGACCTCACACCTGTGCAGCCGGCCGGCGCCCACAGAACCCGGACCCGGACTCGGACTCGGACTCGGGCGGACCTCACACCTGTGCAGCCGGCGGCCGCTCACAGAACCCGGACCCGGACTCGGACTCGGACTCGGGCGGACCTCACACCTGTGCAGCCGGCCGGCGCCCACAGAACCCGGACCCGGATCCCGACTCGGACTCGGACTCGGGCGGACCTCACACCTGTGGAGCCGGCGGCCGCTCACAGAACCCGGACTCAGACCCAGACTCGGACTCGGGCGGACCTCACACCTGTGGAGCCGGCGGCCGCTCACAGAGCCCGGACTCAGACCCAGACTCGGACTCGGGCGGACCTCACACCTGTGCAGCCGGCGGGCTGCCCACAGAACCCGGCCTCGGATCCGGACTCGGGCGGACCGGCCTGCCCTTCCCCCCGCGCCCTGAGGCCGGCGGACAGGCAGCCCGGGGGGCGCACCCCGCGTCGCGGGGCCGGGAGGGGCTGCTGCTCGCCGCGGCCGCCACCGTGAAGGTGGTTCGGGAAGCCGTGAGGGCCGCGTCCCGAGCCCGAAGCGGGAGGAGCGTCCAGAGGAGGCGGCGGCGGGACGCGAGCTCCGTGAGCCCCGGGCCAGGTCTGCACAATGTGGCGGGGCTGGGGGGCATGCGGTGCGGTGCGGGGAGCCCTCCCTCGCACCCCGCCGCGGACCCCAGCCTCAGCCCTGCGCTCCCTGCACGTGGGCTCAACCTCGGCATCCACCCCAGCCCCGTTCGGTTCACGTTTCCCAGGTTGGGCCTTACTGTGAGTGGAAGGAACTGTTCTTCCCACATAAGGAAGAGAATTTTTGTAGAAATGATTAAGCCCTTTTACAAATAAGGGTTTTACGTGCTGTTACCTCAGAGCCTGACTCATGCGCTGATTTATTGTGTGACTAAGTAAGTTGGTTTTCCGTACTAAGTTTTTAAAGCAGGGAACGGATCAGCTGTGCTTGGGAATCCATTTGTATTATAAACTGAGGCGCGTTGAAAGGAACGTGAGGTTAAGAGACAGTTTGGGGGGGTTGCACTGGAGGGATTATAGCATCTGTGTATTTTGAGGTGAATGATTAAATGATTCAGACAAGAAAGGAGAGAATGTCTGGGAAACTGATATGTGAAGTGATGGATGAGAAGGGGTGGGATTCAGAGCCCAAGTGAGATGTGAGAAGTAGAGTAGTTTTTGAGGATGAGCAGGTCAAGGGTAAGATGATTAGGGCAGGGAGCAGGGAACTGAGACTAGGTGCTTCACGGATGTTGGCTTACAGGGTGGTAACAAGAGGAGGGGCAGAAGGAGAGAGGGATCAGGTGATGGAAAGAATGAAGACATTCCCTGGTCTTTGATTGGACTTGGTGGCATTATAAAGAGTCTTTAGTAGATGCTAGGGAAGCTACTCAGCAATACATCTACAAAACCTCTCTTAGGGTCCTTTCTTTTTGGAGATGGTTTACTTCACATTTTTCCAATTCAGACTTTATCCTCCAGTGTTGGGATTGTCCCCCGTGAGCCCTCTCCTCCCCTACATACCAATCTATATATATAAAAGCCTAAGCAACGGCAGACGGTTTGACTCTTTGACCGGTAGCTATGATGTGCACTGACCACCAGGGGGCAGATGCTCAATGCACAGGCTTGGAAACATGGAACAGACTGATGAATCTCAAAGGGGGAGGGGGAGGGCGGGAAGAGATTAACTAAAGATCTTATATGCATACTAGAGGCCTGGTGCCCAAATTCATGCACTGGTGGGGTCCCTCGGCCTGGCCTGTGGGGATTGGGCCGAAACTGGCAGTCTGACATCCCCTGAGGAGTTCCAGATTGTGAGAGGGCGCAGGCCAGGCCGAGGGACCCCACCAGTGCACGGACTCTAGTTGGTTAATAAAATTATACAGGTTTCAGGTATACAATTTTACAATGTATCTGTATATTGTATTGTGTGTTTATAATCCCAAGTCAAGTCTCCTTCCATCACCATTTATCGCCCCTTTACTTTCTACCTCCCCCACTTCCCCTTTTCCTTTGGCAATCACCATGCTATTGCCTGTGTCCATGAGTTTTTCTTTGCTTAATCTCTTCACCCTTCTCACCCAGTCCCCATTCCCCTCCCCTCTGATGGCTGTCAGTCTGTCCTCTGTATTCAGGAGTCTGTCTCCACTTTGTGAATTTATTTTGTTAATTAGATTCCACATATAAGATTCCACATATAAGTGAAATCATATGGTATTTGTCTTTCTCTGACTGGCTTATTTCACTTAGCATAACACTCTCCAGGTCCATCCATGCTGTCACAAAAGGCAAAATTTCTTTCTTTTTTTTAATGGCCCAGTAATATTCCATTGTGTAAATGTACCACAGCTTTTTTTTATCCAGTCATCTACTGATGGACACTTGGGCCACTTACATATCTTGGCTATTGTAAATAACGCTGCAGTGAACATAGGGTTGCATATATTCTTTTGAATTAGGGTTTTGGAATGTGCTACATTTTAAAGTTTTGTTTTGGCAGCCTGGCATCTGCACGGGGTTCTGCAGACAACAATTTTATCTCTGTACGGAGCATTTGGGCTTCCCCCTGTCTAATCTTGTATAAACATTTTACAAACAACGTCCCTTGGGAAGTCCTTGGCCACCGTCCAGCCTCCTAGAGCCAGATACTACATTGCTGACTTCAGGGTGGTCCTCGGGAATCGTTATTTGTTGGGACCAGGATATTTTTAAGCGTGTGAAAACACTTGTAGAGTGAGGAGAAAGCAGCATGTTAGCACTGCAGCTTTGTAAAACACTGAAGCAAAGTTCCTTTGTTCAGAGTGGCAGAATGAGAAAGGCTCAAGGCTGTTGTTCCAAGTTTTTAGAGTTAAAAGGTTTACCAAATGAGGTTTGCTTTTTCTTCATCCTCTTTAAATCCCCCCAGTCATGCTTGCTTGCTTGCTTTCAGTATTGCCAAATGAGAGAAGCCTCCAGAGTGCTGCTAAAAGCGATAATTTGGATCTTTTGGAGAAGCTGTTTGAAAAAAAGGTTAACATTAATGCTGTGAACGACGTGAGTGGAATTCACTAACGTGACAGTGACTACTCTCAGGGTGGCTTGGGTTTACACAGGTCAACTGAAATATAATAAAAATAAAAATGATTGTGCTGGATGAAATAAGGGAGATCTCTGTTGTTGGTAATTCCAGAGTGTTTATGCTAAAGGTGAAATCAGCTCTGGAATAGGCTCTGGGAGTTCCAATTTATCTTAAAGAGGGGAAGTGCATGTGGTCTTCATGCACATCTGTGCAAAGTCTGTGGGTGGGCAGTAAAGCCAACTGTCGAGGTTATGGGCCTGGGCTTGGTCCTCGATGATAGCTTGTGGATGACTTTGGCCTCACACATTCTGGGAAGGCAGAACTTTTTTTGCTACATCTCTGGGTTGTTTTCTCCCCAGTTATGTCCTGTGTGTTCGGTTCTTCCACATTTAAAATCTAAAGGCAGCATGGGTTTTCATTCTACTGCTTTTGAAATATAGTACATGTTGGGCAATGGAGCCCTTTCTGAAACCTGGCTCTTAGTTGTTCTTCGAGTGGTTGGGTTTGGGGGAGAAGCCCACTGCCAGAATAGAAATTTCCTACTGCTTGGTTTTGTGGGGATTCCCTGAGAGCCCCTCAAAGTAGGGTTTGTTAAAGTGAACTGGTTGGGGACTGTGTCAATTGCTTAGGACAATTTGTGGAGTGGTGCAGGTTAGGGATGTCGGAGGTAAATTTAATGTTAAATGAAACAGAAGTTCCAAGGCATTCAGAGGGTTCTAGCAAATGTTCCCATGGCAATATGATTTTGTAAAATATAAAGAAGTGAGAAATTTTAACTACCATCGGTTAAGTTTTCTGATTCTGGCGTCAAATGGGGCTCCCTAAAGAGTGTAAACTTCAGGTTCCACAAAACCTGGATCTGCTCCAGGCAGTGAGGTCATAGAAACTGAAGTCTTGCATCATATGCAGGGGAAGGATGTTTAGCAGTTATTCATGTGTGTATGTGAGGGGATATGTGTTTATGTATATATTATGTACATGTGTGGGTGTCTGATGTGTTATGGGTGTATATATATTCATTGTCTATATACCTCTTAGAAGAGCAAAAGTTTGCAGCATAACAATTTTAGTAACAAAAAAAAAAGAAAAAGGAAAGGAATTAAGGAAAAAAGGAGAGGAAAAAAAAGCAAGGATCTTTGAAACTGTTGTTTAGGTTAATTGAATATGTAAAGCAGTAAGAATTTTTTACTGTAATCATTTTTCCAAGTAGCAGGAAATAGATTCTTCAATATAATTTTATAACCATTTCAGTTTTTCTACATATAACTTCCTGATATTTTAAACCATATTTTTATATTAAAGTATTTGGAGAAATACTCCTGGTGAATTGTATTATTCCTTATAATGACATCTCTATTAGGCCTGTTTATGGTAAATTGTTGACATGGTTACTTGTAATGTTCCTTAAAAATCTGAGATGATAGAGATGAAAAACTGTAGGTGGTTTTATTGAATTATCTTGGATGTTGTTTTGACTTGCATTTTTATTCACAAATAAAGTTAAGGGGCTGTATAAGCCCAAATTTGACATACTTCAACATAGCTCTAGATTTCGGGTAATGTCAAGATAAGTAATGTTTTGTCTAACTTAGTTTATCACCAGTTTAGCTACCAAGGAAATCAGATGTTTAATTTAAACAGTTCTCATATTTTGCAATAAATTTTTTTATATGAAACAAAGGATAGTAAATCAATGCCCAGGCACCTTCTTTGGAAGCAAAAACAGTGTCTAGAACATGGGAAATCTGAGACAAGTTTTATTTGCAAGCAAAGCATCCGTTGTTTGAAACGCATTGAGCTGTCTCTGGACCTCTCAGGCGCACCATGGTGGCTTTCCTTCGAAGCAAAAGATATTTATAGCTTTCTTTGTTTTTATTCTCACCCGAGGATATTTTTCCCGTTGATTTTTAGAGAGAGTGAGAAGGAGAGAGGGAGACAGAGGAAAACACCAATATGAGAGACATCGATTGGTTGCCTCCGGAATGCCCCCCAGAGCCTGCAACCGAGATTCGTGCCCTTGACCAGAATCGAACCCATAATCCTTTGGTCTATAGGCCAACACTCTATCCACTGAGCCAAGCCAGCTAGGACCACAGCTTCCTTTCTCTGTGCCTATTTCTTTCTCCTCTCTTCCCCATTCCCTCCCTTTCAGAAGAATTTGTTTGCTTCAGGAAATTTATAGTCCAAAAAATCACAGAAGAAAGAACACATATGTATATATTGAAAATCTAGGAAAAATTTTTGTTATACATTATCAATATATTCTAGCCAGGAAACATTTACCATTTTTAATGATTGCATATGGGGAAAATACAACTTCTACTCTAATTTGAAATTCATTCTATTGTTACAAGCAATGATAAGTTATGCAATGAATTTCAGCATGGGGCATATCCTCCAGTGGACTGCCGAATTCTCTGGTATTTCTGATAATAGATGAAGGCAAGAGTATGCTAGATACAATTCTCACTACTTTCAAAGACAGAAACGAGTAGATAAATAATAAAAGTACAAGCCCCTGATAGAAAATTATGGTCATTCTAGAAACAGGAATCTTAAAAAGGCTAAATAAAAATCGGATTACTGAAAATACAGTTATGTTTCCTCAGATGAACCGCACAGCCCTGCATTTTGCAGTGGGGGCAAATCATTTATCTGCAGTGGATTTCTTGCTTAATCGCAAGGCCAGGGTGGATGTTGCTGATAAGGTAAGCTCATCTTCCTTTGGTAGAATGAATTGGAGCAGAATGAATGTGTGGGGAAATCTGGTCACTTCAGTTATCTTTTCTTCACATATGCACAAAATGTTTCCATTGGCAGTATTCATTTTGGAAAGGTCTTTGAGAATATATGTATTATGTGCTCTGTATTTGGCGACTAAATTGCTTATCCATTCATTGCCTTTAGGACTTAGGCTTTTATTTATTGTCCCATATTCACATTATGGCTATTAGCATGCATTTGTAAAAATAAAATGGTTGCTCAGAGTATAATTTGGGACATGGGCGATAGAAGCTAACTGGCCTCAGGGACATTAAATATTGGCTTTGCCCTGTGAACTCTGATAAAGAAATAAGGGTTGTGCTTGCTTCGGCAGCACATATACTAAAATTGGAACGATACAGAGAAGATTAGCATGGCCCCTGCGCAAAGATGACACGCAAATCCGTGAAGCGTTCCATATTAAAAAAAAAAAAGAAGGCTTAATAAACATATAGGATGTACTAGGTATCAGTCTTAGGATTTGAATATTTAGTTCCTCAAACTTGTAGGGAAAGTAATACTATAATAATCAATTTACAGATGTGGAGTCTGAGAAAGATTAAATAGCTTGCCCCCCAAAATTACATCTAAGAAGGGGTGGAGGCAGGATTTGGACCTTGCTTAACTGATTCCAGAGACCATACCATTACCCACAAATCAGCCAATGTGTCTGCTCAGATATGAAAACCATCGTGAGGACTTTCCACCCACTTTTCCCAACTTTATCTAGTACTTTACTGTGGTACAAGGAGCCCATTTGGGCTGGAGAAATCCAACATCATGTTTATCATCTCCAGTTGCAAAAAGAGATGATAGCCTTGGTTTTTAGTTAATCCAGTGGACCATGGTTTTGAAGTTAAACTGTTCAGAAGATTCCCACAGAGCTAGTCTATTTTCTCTCTGAAATGACTCTTGGGAGGGTAAGGCTCAGCGTTGCTCTACCTTCATGTCTTACAGAACTTGGGTTTAGTATGTTCTTAGTAAGTCTTTGGAAGGTAAATGAACTAGGTCCGTTCAAACCAATTGATCATCTTGTTGGTTTTGTTGGCAATCATAGACATGGTCTAGACAGATAATGATGAGAATTTCTCCTTGTTTCACCAGTAGGGTACATCCCTCTCTATTTTATTGCTCTGGTATTGTTGGGCAAGTGGATTGATCAGTAACAGAAGCAGAATGAAGAACGATACAGAGGGACACCAGAAGCACTCCAACATTGTGAGTGTAATAAGTTGTGTTATGGTAATGGTACTTAAGGAACATGTATTTTAGGTCTGGAAATTGTTGTTTATTTTTTAGTGTTAGTTAGCCTGCAAAAGATACTTTGGTCATAGACCTGACTGCGAAGAATCTATTCTTCTTTTGACATTGAAATCCTGGTACAATAACTTTTTTATTTTATTTTAATTCTTTTTTAATTGATTTTTTAGAGATGGGAAGAGAGACAGAGACAGAGAGAATGAGAGAGAGAGAGGAGAGAGAGAAAAACACGGATTTGTTGTTCCACTTATTTATGCATTCATTATAATTCATTCTTGTATGTTCCCTGACCGGGTATTAAACCCACAACCTGGGACAATGCTGAACCAACTGAGCTCGCTGGCCAGGGCCTTTACTTTAATTCTTTTTTTTTTATTAGATAAGGTATTACAAATGTGTCCTCATCCGCCCCATTAACCCCCAACCCCGCCCCCCCCCCAACCTGCACACTCATGCTCCCATCCCCCTGTTGTCCATGTCCATTGGTTTGGCTTATATACATGTATACAAGTCCTTCAGTTGATCTCTTTAATTCTTATATTAATAGACTATACAATTAAGTTTGTGTGTGTGTGTGTGTTTTTGGCATACAGTGCTATGAATTTTAACACATGTTCATAGATTCATGTAGCCACCACCCCAATCAAAATACTAAACGTTTGCATCATGCTGCTCTTTGCACTCAACCACCCCCAACCCTGGCAACCACTTATCTCTTCTCCATCTCTATAGTTTGCCTTTTTGAGAATGCCATGTAAATGATATTGTATAGTATATATAACCTTTGACACTGGCTTCTTTCACTCAGCAAAATGGCTCTGTTGTATGTATCAATAATTCCGCCCTTTTATTGCTGAATAGTATTCCACTGTATAGCTGTAACACCATTTGTTTATCCATTCACCAGTTGAAGGAAATTAGAGTTGTTTCCAGTTTTTTACCATTCCTTGATTTATTTATTTTATTTTACATTATTTTATTTTATTGTTGACAGTATTACAGATGTCTCCCATTTTCTCCCTTTTTGTCCCCCTCCACCCAACCCTTCCCCACCCCAGGTTTTCCCCATGCTATTGTCTGTGTCCATGGGTTATGCATATATGTTCTTTGGTTAATCTCTTCCTGACCCTTCCCCCACAACCTCCCACCCCACTGAAGTCTGTTATTCTGTGTTTCTGGGGGAAAGGGGAGGTTGTTTGTGTTAGAAAATATTTTATTAATTTTAGAGAGGGAGAGAGATAGAAATATCAATGATGAGAGAGAATCATTCCTGTCCCACACTGGGGATCAAGCCCACAACCTGGGCATGTGCCCTGACCGGGAATCAAACCATGACCTCCTGGTTCATAGGTCAGTGCTCTACCACTGAGCCACACTGACCGGATGTTCATTTTTTAATTGTTACAAATAAACCTTCTAAAAACATCCATGTAGCCGAAACCGGTTTGGCTCAGTGGATAGAGCGTTGGCTTGCGGACTGAAAGGTCCCAGGTTCGACTCCGGTCAAGGGCATGTACCTGGGTTGCGGGCACATCCCCAGTGGGAGATGTGCAGGAGGCAGCTGATCGATGTTTCTCTCTCATCGATGTTTCTAACTCTCTATCTCTCTCCCTTCCTCTCTGTAAAAAATCAATAAAATATATTTAAAAAATAAATAAATAAATAAATAAATAAAACAAAAAAAACATCCATGTATAGGCATTTATATAAGCACTAGAGGCCCAGTGCATGAAGTTTGTTCCTCAGCCTGACCTGTGCCCTATAACAGTCCGGGACCCCTTGGGGGATGTCTGGGAGCCCTCGCTCCTTACCACCTGCCTGCTCGCTGCTCCTTACCACTTGGCTCGCTGCTCCTTAGCACTGCCGGAGGCAGGAGAGGCTCCTGCCACTGCCGCTGCACTAGCCAGCCGTGAGCCCGGTTTCTGGCTGAGCAGTGCTCAGCATTGAGCGTCTGCCCCCTGGTGGTCAGTGCGCATCATAGCGACCAGTTATTCTGCCGTTTGGTTGATTTGCATATTAGCCTTTTATTATATAGGATAAGTTTTCATTTCTCAGGTGTAAATACCTAGGAGTGAGATTACTGGGTCATATAGTAAGTGATGTACAAGAAGCTTCCAGACAGTTTTCTAGAGTGGCTGTTCCATTTTCATTCCCACCAGCCATATAGCAGAGTTCCAATTGTTTCACATCTTCATCAGAAGTTGGTATTGTCATTGCTTAATTTTAGCCATTCTAATAGGTTTGTATTGGCTTCTCATTGTGGTTTTAATTTGCATTTCTTTAATGGGAGGTTGTGTCTTTTCTTGTGTTATTTACCCTTCATATATCTTTTTTGGTGATATATCTATTCAAATCTTTTGAATATCTTTTTAGAAATTGGTTGTTTTCTTATTGTTGATTTTGAGAGTTATTTATGTATTATAGATACAAATATTTAGTCAGACAGGTGATTTGTAAATATTTTCTCATTTTCTGTAGCTTTTTCATGTTTTTTCAGACCAAAAGTTTTAAATTTTGATAAAGTGCAATTTACTTATATATTTTTATATAGTTTTAAAAATTGACTTTAGAGAGAGAGGGAGAGGGAGAGAGAGATAGAAACATCAGCTGCCTCCTGCATGCCCCCTACTTGGGTATCAAACCAGTGACCTCTTGGTGCATGGGGCGACACTCAACCAACTGAGCCACAGCAGCAGGGATACTTATCCTATATAATAAAAGCCTAATATGCAAATTGACCAAAGGGTGGAATGGCCAGTTGCTATGACGCGCACTGACCACCAAGGGGCAGATGCTCAATGCAGAACAGCGATGGCGAACCTTTTGAGCTCTGCATGTCAGCATTTTGAAAAACCCTAACTTAACTCTGGTGTCGTGTCACATATAGAAATTTTTTGATATTTGCAACCATATTAAAACAAAGACTTATATTTTTGATATTTATTTTATATATTTAAATGCCATTTAACAAAGAAAAATCAACCAAAAAAATGAATTCGCGTGTCACCTCTGACACACGTGTCATAGGTTCACCATCACTGATGTAGGAGCTGCCCCCAGCCCGCAGGCCCTAGGCTGGCCAAGGCGGGTGCCAGTGGGGGCAACCCTCCCAATTGCCCCGCCAGTCACCCTGCAGAGGGAGGTGACCGGTGGCAGTGGGGGGTGGGGCCAGTGAGTGGGCGGTGCCAGGCTGGCCAAGGCAGATGTCAGCAGGGACCTTCCCCGCCCCCCCCGCCCCCCCCCCCCATTGCCCAGCTGGTCGCCCTGTAAAGGGAGGCGAATGGTGGTGGTGGTGGGGCGGGGCCCGTGAGTGGGCGCTGCCAGGCTGGTGGGGGTGGCCAGCGGGGGCCCTTGATCACCCCACCAGTCGCCCCACAGATTGGCCCTGATCACTGGCCAGGCCTAAGGACCCTACCTGTGCATGAATTTCTGGATCTGTTTCACCTGTACAACATTCAGGGGCCAGTCTGAGACTTGGGCAGTGGTCTAGCTGTTCTCCAAGCTTTTGTCAAGCTGTTTAGGTTCAGGTCCATGTACAGGTCAGGGGTGAGGCCAGGAATACACACATAACTTTATGGGATTGCTTTCTTGAGCTTCACTTCTCCAAGACCATCTCCCCCTATTTTCCAGCTTCAGGGCCCCTCTCCCCTTTTTCCTGGTCCTCTGACTAGAGAGCTAAGGGTGTGCTCTCGCAGCTTCACTATGTATTCTCACAGTTGGGTCTGCCTCCAGGACTAAGAGAGGAAAAGAAGTAACATGAATTCCCCCTCCCAGTCCTGCCCCCTCTCTGACCACAATTTCTCTGGTCAGAGAGAAGGATTCCCATGGTCAGAGTTTTAGGTGCTTGCCCAATCACTGCTGCTACCTCTCCTACCACAGGGTTACAGCTTTGGGAGTGAGGCTTGCCTAGGCCAGGGCCAGAAGAGAGAAAAGAAACAGGATTTCCTTTCCCTTTTCTGTCCTATGGGGTCCCCCTTCCACTCCTTAGACCAGAGAGGGCTTCTCTTGGAGCTTTTTCTGTCCCCGCCCAGGGTGTAGTTCTGTGATTTGCACTTCCATGAGTCTAAGTGGGAAGGTATGAAAGTAAAAAAAAAAACAAAAACAAAAAATCAGCAAACCCTAATTGTTTATAGTTTGGGTTCTGGTTTTCTTCCCCAATCTACCTGTTACCATTTACTTTTCAGATTTCTCAAATAGCTTCTCCATGCATTCTGTCCAGAGATTCTAGTCACATTTGGTGAGAAAGACAGGGTCCTGGTTCCCCATCTTAACCAGGACCGAAAACCCACATCTTTAATACTATACAATAAAAGCCTAATATGCTAAGTGTCTGGTCATCTGGTTGGTTATTCAACCAATCAAGGTGTAATATGCTAATGGTGTGCTAAGGCCACTCAACTGCTCGCTATAATGTGCACTGACCACCATGGGGCAGATGCTCCAACCAGTAGGTTAGCTTGCTGCTAGGGTCCGGCCGATCCCTGGCTGGCCAACCTCTCACATCCCTCCCTGGACCTGATCATGCACCAGTGGGTCCCTCGGCCTGGCCTGCGCCCTCTCGCAATCTGGGCTGAGGGACTCCTCCCACTACCACCACCCAGTACATGAATTTCATGCACCAGGCCTCTAGTGTGCTATAAAAGCAAATAGAATTGTACAATAAATACCTATGTATTCATTGCTTAGGTGGAATAGCATTTTTCTTTTAAACACAGTGTTTCTAATATATTAAATATACTACTGGTTTATGTCAGAGTATAAGTCAATTATTCACAAAATATTTTACCAACTTATTCTATTTGAGGCTTTTCCCATTTGGAAGCTTCTTGTAATTTGCTTTATGAGACTGAAGTGCTGTCAGGTAAAAGGTATAGTAATTTATGATGTGTCATTATACTCTGCCTTGACAGGTTCACTAAGTTAAATATTCCTATAACTAATGTAATTACAGTGGCATTAGTATATAACTAATAAGATGATTTTTATAATTCAAGCAATGCCAGGTTTGGTCAAACCTGGCAGCTTCTTTATTCAGTTGAGAATCCCTGACTTTGACTTGGCAAATCTGTTTTGTAAGTTCTAACACCTATTTGCAAAGAGTCAATAATTGAAGCTCTTCACCATCAGTATTTACTCGGTGCTTGTTGTGGGTAAGTCTCAATGCCAACTTCTGGGGATTCAACTAGATACAAGTTCTTGTTACTCAAAGTGTGGTCCTGGACCAGAAGCACTGGTATCACCTGGGAGCTTCTTAGAAATGCAGACTCTCAGGCCCACCCTTCACCTTTTGAATTAGAATCTGTGACTTAGCAGGATCCCCAGATGATTGTGTCTGGAAGGACTGGCATGAGATATAGTCTCTGCTTTGAGGGGCCTGTAACCTCCCGGGGGAGCAAGGACCAGGACTGTCACAGATGTGTACCATTTGAGGCACTGCATGACAAGGATCAAATGCATAGCCCACATGCTGAGGACTCCAGGTTCAACGTGGGTAGCATTTCAGAGTCTTGGGAAGAGGCAGAATAGGTAAAAGGAAGCTCTTCTTCCAGATGTGAGCAAAGGATCCCGGGTGGAGGGCACATGATGTTCAGAGAATGATGGCCATCATCTGCTCTCAGAGCTTCTTTTTCTGGGAAACTCAAGAGCAAATGTTCCCAGGGGACGTTGTTAACCTCCTCACCTATGACCAGACTGGTGATGAGGACAGGCTGTTAGTGGCGGTGGGCATTTCATACTGTATAGAGCATCGTGTACTGACAGTGACAGTAATCCATGACATGTGCTCATAAACTGCCTCAGGCATGTCAGTTTGATAGTACAAGACTTAGTTTTATGACGGTTCTCCTGGGGGGGATTAACATCTGTGAGCGGTGATTCTTTGCCTCTGAGGAACAATGGTTCCACTCCGAATTTATGGCTTCTGAGACTCAAGTTGTTTGCAGCTTGAATTCTTGGCTTTTGGATTTTATGGTCAGTGTTTGAAATCTTTAAGTGTTGGTGGATTGGAAATTAGGAGTGACCTTTTAGGGAAATTTTGAGCTCCTATCAAAATGTGATTTATACTCTATCCCAAATATTTCTGACCTCTTTTTTTGACCATATGTGAAACTGGACTTAGTGCTATTGAATATAAAGCATTAATTGTAAATTAATGGGAGGAACTGTGTTTAGGGCACATTTCTTGAAGAACCTCAACTAGTTATTGTACATGTTGTTCTTTGAGGAAAAGAGTACAGAAATTGGTAAACATTTTCTTTATACTGGAATTATAAATATTTAAATAGACTATGTAGGCCTAACTGCATAATACACATCAGCAACAATGTAATATTTTTTATCCAAATGTTTTAAATTTATAGTTTGTTGAATACACAGATATGGAACCTGCAGATATGAAGGACCAACGGTATATACATATACACATATGAGTTTTTCTGGTCATTGCTTGTTTTATAAAAATGGGATTATGTTATATTTTATCTGCATCTTATTTTTTATATTTTAATAGCTACCTCATGGAAAGCACTCCAAGTCAATTGTTGTAGCTCTAATTCACGATTTTTAATGGCTGCATGATGTGTTCCCTAATTTGTTCAACATTCCTATATTGATAGACATTTGCCTTGCTCCCAATTTTAAGGGTTAAAATTAATATCCTTGTTGATATAACATTAGTTCTTAAAACTTATTTTCATAGGATAGATTCCCAGGAGTGGGATTGCTGGTTGTATTTAAAATTTTAATAGAGATTGACAGATTGCTTAAACATAATGGCTTCATTTTCCACTGATACCTTTTTTGGTACACTTTTCAATTGGTTTAATTGTCTTTTTCTTGTTGATTTGCAAGAGTGCTTATATATTAGAGAAAGTAACCATTTATCTTTATTAAGAAACATTTAGCGAATCAATCCTTTGTTATGGACTTTGTTTATCAACAGTCTTTTATAACTTCTGGATTAAGATATTGTGCATTGCAGTCTAGATTTTCTCCTAAGGTATTTACTGTTTGTGTGCTTTTGTGTGTTTGTGATAAGATATAGGACTTAATTTTATTTTCTTCCAGATAGAGAACCACTTGTGCCTGCACCATTTATTTGTTTTCCCCATAGAAACGAAATATCATCTTTGCTGTATATGAAAGTCTCTCCCTGTTTCTTACTTTTCAACAGTTGACTGTTAACTTGGCTTTTGGTGACTTCACATGCGTTCTTTTCTTCTCTTCTTGGGAAAGCATGGCTTGACAGTAATTCACCTTGCAGCCTGGTCTGGAGGCCTCAAGATCATGCTCATGCTGGTTAGAGCTGGAGCAGACCAGAGAGCCACGAATAGGGTCGGTATGTGGGTCACTCCTGGACATAAGCTCTCACCTCACAGTGCAGGAAGGGGAGGTCTTGAGATCACTATGTGATTACCTCCTCTAACCTGGCTTTCCTCAGGATGGAATGGCTGCCCTTCACTTCACAGCTCAGAGCAATAATGTGCGCATTGTGGAGTACCTCACTCAAGATCTGCACCTGAAGGACCTGGACCAGCCTGATGAGGTACACTTGCTGTGGTAGGACAGGTCTCCCATACACCCCTATCAACTTCCCCTTTCTTTCTGCCCCTGCTGGAATGCCAGTGCAGCCAGCACAAACCTACAGCCGGCTCTTCCATCGCCCTGGCAGAACCATGGAGCAGAAGGGAAGTGCGGGTGCTGGCCATGGCCCTGGCTCTGGTAGTAAGGAAGCCACCAGATCCCTTCTTCCCTCTCTACTCCCTCATCCTGGCAGGGGTGTGGGCAGCATCCACAACTGTTTGGTATTCACAATGAGTAACCACACTTTACCCTATGATGCCTGGCCTTTTAGGAATGTACTTGACCCAAGGCTCTACAGTGCCGGAAGCCAATTCCAGCATGTCATAATTGCAAGAGTTTCATCAAAAGGTTGATGGAACTTGGGGACTCAACAAGGGCTGAGTCACATGTGTTGTCACCTGTTGGGAGTGGCTGAGGGCATTTCCCCAAACCTGAAAAGGGATGATTGCTTAGCTGCCAGACAGCTCAGGGCATCTTAATCTACATGTTATTGCCTCCTACTGGCCAAACACTTGAACAGCTGTAGGCAAATTCTTCCAATCTGACAATGGGTTCTGTACCTAACCCTACCCTTTGAAGTGTATATCTACACCTCACCTTAGGACAAATTGTGTTAATAAAAAGCAAAGGGTCCTGAGAAAAGGAGATCTTAGTTTCTTTAGCTAAGCTCCTCTGACTCCCAAATGCCTTTCAAAATTATGCTTCGTCTCTGGACTCTTTAAGTTACACACAGCCCTTCTCCAGATTGCTGGACCCTTCTAGATGCTGGAACAAGAACCCTGGCACTACAGTAATGAGCCATGGAATATAATGCAATTTTATCATATTTGCCCATGTTTCTTTTGTTTTCATAAGGAGATATAATAACAGCTTTTGAGTAGTTATTAGTGTGCTAGGTACAGAGGAAAGCTACTTACATTCACTATTTAAAAGTGAGAGACTAGAGCCTGGCACACATGGATGTTAAACAAATCATTGCTGAATGAATGAATTATCCTATTCATCTGCACAATAATTTTATAATGAAGAAAATAGTGTGTTCATTGTTAAAGGTAAGGAAGTTGAGGCTCAGAGAGGCTAAGTACTTGATCTGAAGTCCCAAAATTAGAAAGTGAAAGAGCCAGATTGTGTGTTCAGGTCTGGCTGACTCCACTTACCGTGCAGTACTGTGTCTCTTTTCAGATGACAGTGGCCATTGCCCACATGCTAGGGATTGTCTTTTCTCTGCAGTATCTCTTAGGTGTTTTTTTCATAGGATAGAATTCTCTGTGAGGTTGGCTTTTTTTGGGGGGGGGGTGCATTTTTATTTTGAATGAAACCACCTTTTCACTGTACCTCCAGAACATTATTTTCCATAAAAGCCTCTAAAAGTTAGTCAGCAATATTTACTTCATTTTATTTCTTTTAAAAAAACTTTTACATTTTTTCCTGACCTCAGTCTAAAAACAATAACAAAAGCTATTTCTTCAAATAAAGTCTATAAATTTCTTTTACTTCCTCTGAGTATGACTAAGCAACTATACATTTATAGCTTGGAGGTAGAGAGGCTTGGGCTATGGTCTGGGCATATATTATCTATGTGGCTCTAAGCAAGTTCTCCAACTGCTGAAAGCCTCAGTATCTCCATCTGTACAATGGGAATAATAAAATCTACTTCATGGTAGCACCAAGGGAATGATTGGAGGGAGATTGACCTCTGTATAATTTTTTTTTCAGCAACACCCCCATTTCTTGATGTAGACAATTGGCATTTTGTCAATTTTTTATGTAAAAATGGCTATGCTGATGAGCTTCATGGTGAGCCATTCCATCACCCCTTTCCAATCAGACATTACCCCTAAAACATTTTTATGTAGCAAATATTGGAGCAGCCACTGTTGGAATGCTTAAATGAGTTAATGACTAAAGCACTTAGCAAAAAGCACTTGGCACATGGTAAGTGTTCACTAAATGATAGCTATTATAACAATTATTATAGGATAAAGTCCACTATCTGATTTCCTCAAACCGATAATTACAGTCAGATAGCATCTAGTGTCAGGGAAAAGTTGGATCATTCTGGTTTGATGGATGCTGAGTAGGGGTGCAGCCTCTGAATGAATTCTATTCAGTTCAATTAGCAGGTATTTGTTGAGGGCCTGTCATATATAAGACACACGACTGTCTTCCCTTTTTGTGGACTCTGGGTGCTTTCATGGGAGACAGCAATGTGTGGAGAGGACCAGGCGGGCTGAAAGGGCTCAAAGGTCAAAGCACATTTGTGGAGACCCTCCCCTATTTCAAGAGCTTCTTCTGGCCAGCAACCTTTGTGAAGGTGGAGCAGTCTTTTCTATCAAACTAGAGGCCCGGTGCACGACATTCGTGCATGGGGTTGGGGGGTTCCTCAGTGCGGCCTTTCACAGTCCAGGAGCCCTTGGGGGATGTCTGACTGGCCTAAGCCGCAGTAGAACATCCTTAGTGCTGAGCTCCGCTCAGCTGGGTTTGTGGCTGAGCGGAGCTCTCGCTGTGGGAGCACACTGATCACCAGGGGGCAGCTCCTGCATTGAGCGTCTGCCCCCTGGTGGTCAGTGTGCATCATAGTGACTTGTCATTCTGCTGTTTGGTCGATTTGCATATCACCCTTTTATTACATAGGTTGTGTTTCATCTCGTCAGCTGGTCTGGGTTTGTCCTGCTCCACCCTTCTTCCTCCTCCTCTGACTATCTGTTGGGTAAAAGGCTGAGGAGCCTCGGCAACGGGCTGTGCAAGCTACATGTCCAGCTGAGAGATCTTAAAAGAAAGATGGCTCTAGAGATATATGAGGAATGAACAAATAATGAGCACACTTGGTCATCTAGGGAGAGAAGAATCTCTGAGTCCACTTTTAGTACTGTAAGAAACTTGGATTGATCAATTCCAAAGACAAAGTCTACTCTTTTTCTAAGATCTGTAGGTGGGGTGAAGGATGCTGGCAAAAGCTAGTGGGAGCACGGGGTCTATGAATTTATCATTAGGTTTTCTGTCAGTGTTTGCTTAAAAGTATTGTGGAGCTCGTGAGCACATTTGATAGAAAAGACTGCTCTACCTTCACGGTTGGCCCTCTGGCATAGTGTCTTATCAACAGAAAGTGATTAAGAGCCTGCTTATCTGCCCAGGCTTAGTGAAGTCCTTTCTTTAGCATGGAGGGAACTCCAGATGCTAGCAAGGAAAGCTCTACTGTGCAGAGGTCTTATTAATAAAATGGATTTGTCTGGGATTCCCGTGGAAATGGATGGTCAGGTTGGACTTTGGGTGCCCGTTAATGACTGTTTATTAACATTTTTGCTGAATTTGGTAACTTGTCAAATATGATGACCCTGGCAGTAAACTTAAAAATGAAAAATAGAAAGAGATTAATCAAAGAACATATATGTATATATGCATAACCCATGGACACAGACAATGGCATGGGGAAAACCTGGGTAGGTTGGGGGTTGGGTGGAGGGGGGCAAAAAGGGAGAAAATTGGAGACATCTGTAATACTGTTAACCATAAAATAAAATTTAAAAAAAGAAAAATAATTTCTAATCAACAATTGCAACTCTTAAGACTTACATGCAAAAAATTTAAATGCACTAAATTAAAACGTGTTAGGTTAAATATACATTAAGTTAATACAGGAAATAAGGAGCAGGCATTCTGGGCCCTCCTTATTTTTGTTAGTAGGAAAGGGAATCAGTAACCTGAGCTGGGAAGGCATTGTGATTTGTCTGGGCCCCGAAGTCTGGGGCTCTGACACCAGGCTCTACTTTTCTCCTGGTGGAAAAATCTCCCTGCCCCCTTGCCTTCAAAGTGAGAGGTAGTCCTATGAGATGTAGTGGATAGAGGCCTATCCAGTTAAAAAGGGTCAGGTGGCTAAAAATGAAATGACATAATCAGAAACTATATTTAAAAACATTTATTTAAAAATTCCTGTCGTTATTTTGCCTACATGTACTAGGATGGTAGAAAAGATTTATATTGCATTTTACTATTTCTTTAGGCTATGTTTGGTTTTTTCTATTTACTAGATGGGATGCTGCTGCCCGATTCATGAACTGTTGAATAAAGCCATTTAGATCTTTAACTTAATATACATATACTTTATGATATTTCTGATGTTCATAAGGTACAGATTACTTTGTATAAATTGGCTTTCACTTGTTGTTGATGGTCACATTTTTAAAGGGCATTCAAAGTTTAAAGGAACAACTGTTTTGTTGGCAAGGAAAGATGTTTCATTTGTGATAACCTCCCATTTCCTGCCAGGCTATTCTTTGTGGGTGGGTCCTCTTATCACTTTGTTTCAATATGCAGAAATGCAAGACTTATGGCAAAGGTAAAAGAATAAGGCCATTTTAAAGTTGAACAGAGCCTCTGAGATACTCCTAGCAGTGTCTGTCCCCAATTTACTAAATATGTATTAGTTAGAATTCTTTCTGTTATGAGTTGGGGGAAAATGGGGAGCAGCTTAATCTAGATTAAGAAATAAGGTAATTTATTAACTCCTAAATTTGAGGGTATATCTGGCTAGCTTCAGGCATGGCTGGATCCATCTCCTGGCTTTCTCTGTGTTGGCATTATTGATAGGTATACTCTCCACAAGGTGGGAAAGACAGCTGCTAGCAACCTCCAGTTTATACTCTTATGGACATTCTTAAGTATTTTATTTATTCACTTATTTACTTTTATATATGTTTTTATTGGTTTTAGAGAGAGAGGAAGCGAGAGGGAGAGAGAGAGAAACATTGATGTGAGAGAGTAACACCAATCAGTTGCCTCTCATATGTACCCCGACCATGGATGGAACCCATAAACTGGGTGTGTGCCCTGATCAGGAATTGACCAGCAACCTTTTGGTGCCTGGGATGATAGTCAACCAACTGAGCCATACTGGCCAGGGCTGAACAATGCCTACTTTCTTGATTCCATTTCATATAGACCAGCGGGTCGCGACCCCTTTGGCGGTTGAACGACCCTTTCATAGGAGTCGCCTAAGACCATCCTGCATATTAGATATTTACATTATGATTCATAACAGTAGTAACATTACAGTTATGAAGTAGCAACGAAAATAATTTTATGGTTGGGTCACAACATGAGGAACTATATTTAAAGGGCCAGAAGGTTGAGAACCACTGTTCTAGGAGCATTTAAGCCAGGCTTTTAGCCAAGGACCCTGGCCAACAGGGGAGCCTCCATTTGTTTATTTGTGTGTGTGTGTGCACTCTTTTCTGACCATCTGGTGAGATGATCAGGATTAATGGATTTAACTTAATTAAAGACGATCCCAGGAACTTGGTTCTTTTGGATGAAAGTTAGGACAGATGTTTTAGAAACTCAAAATGAACATGAATCACCTTGGGTGGATTGTAGGTGTGCTGTGCCTTCAGGAATCACTATAGAGATGGAGTCCTGAGGTCACAGGGTTTAAGTTAAAGTCTTAGTCGTGCTTGCCCTGCTCTGTTTTAATGCTTGACCACTGGAATGTGTGTACTTGGGTTTCATCCACCTTTTGGCTATTTTTGAGTCAGGGCCCATTGGGGAGAACTCGTAACATCCAGCAAACTGTAATTACAGGTTATGATAGGCTTCCTTGCACAAAGTAGAGTGTCTGTGATATTGCTAGCCTTTTGGACAAGGCCCATAACATCCATACCGTCCCCGGCTGCCTCTGTTTCTTGGGAGAAGCTGTTGCCAGAGCAGCTGGAGTGGCCTATGTGAATATGCTCTAGACTAGAGCAATTGCCTCCAAACATGATTGGTAGCAAACCCATGTCAGGAAACAAAGTTTGTGCGTGTGCCGGCCACATATATATTTTTAGTTAACACATTACAAAACATATGCCTGAAATAGACATTTTAAAAAATTGAGATAAGAATCAAGATAAACAGCAGTTCTCATATTTCCCCGACACTGAATTGATTCCCTTGTATACCTCTCGTGTGTTTTCCTGCCAGTTTTCTTTGAGTTCCCATGCATGTATACATTGTAGTGGATGCCCCAAATTCATTTAGTTTATTATTTAGTTAGTTTATTTCAGTTTTCCTTTATTATATGCTATCATGAACCTCTTGGTGCATAACCCTTAGTTTGAATTCCTCACTATTTCCTTTGGGTGTATTCTTAGAGGTAGGATTGTTGGATCAAAGATACGAACGTTTATTAGGCTCTTAATATGTTAAAGATGTGAATTCTTTCCTTCACATTTTGTGCAAATGTTTTTCCACTGGGGGTTGCCTTTTGGCATCTCTTTTCCTGGGAAAATGAGAAGGTAGGTTATGAGGAGAAATTGTGTTGCAACAGATGGCTGTCCCAGGCACTCAGGTGAGGCAGCGGGGACACCGTTTTTCCATCTGGTTGGAATGGGAACTTGTTCCCATGCTCTTGCTCCCGTTACCATGATGGTTCATATCGAAAGAGCTACAGGTAGAACCTCTGAGCTGTCCTGATGCAGTTCTTAAGGATGTTTTTCTTAACATCCAACAGGGGAAATGGTTTTAGGAAAGAATCTGCACGAGGAGGGGAAACTGTCCAAGTAGTTGTTATATGAGACCAGTTTCTTTTCTCTCTCTGTTTTGGCCTAAACTAAACTCACTCTGTCCTGTTAGGTTTGTCATAAGTTTCAAGAAACTTAATTATTACGGAAATAGCATGTTACTTTAAAAAAAAATGACATACAACATTTTAAGTCATTTTTAAAGGTTAAAGCTGCACTTGGTACACATGTGCTTCTATTTTTGTGTTTCACTGCATCATAAGTCCTTGTTTCTGTGATTATCTTTCTTAAAAAGCTGTTACCGTCTGATGGGTAGGGTCTGTGTCATATTTGTCTTTTCCATCCCAGTGCCTAGCAGTGCCTAGCAGTGATAGATAGTAGGTGTCTATTAAGTGTTTTCTGGATAAATTAACAAAGGTTAAGGTTATGAGTGATGGAGGGAAACAGTTTGAAAGGAGGCAGCATAACAGAGTAAAGAATGCAGGTTTGGGAGCCAAACAGCTGGACTGCATCGTAGTTTTGCCACGTTCCAACTGAGGCTCAGTTTCTTTATCTGTAAAATGAAGATAATATTAATTCTGATCTCATGGGGTTGTTGTGGAACTTAACTGTGCCAAAGCATAGTCTTGGCAAAATATGTTGGCACATAGATGCTTAATAAATGCTATCCATTATCAAGAGTAATGCACAAATGCTATCCATTAGTAAGAGTAAAGCACACTGTTTCTCAAGCAGCTTCATTCCATGACAAGAGGTAATTAATTTTTACATTTTTCCTTTTGTTAGAATGGAGAAACACCCTTCGTCCTAGCTGTTGGAGGAGGTCATGGAGAATGCAGCAAAGTGCTGGTGGCAGCAGGACGTGCTATCAACATTCCAAATAAAGTATGTGTTCCACTCACACAGTGGGAGGGGCACTCAGGATGCTCTCTGGGTAATCTGGTCCTGTGTTGGTCCACTCACTGGGCTTCTGTAGAGTTAATATTTATAATTGGTTTTGTTTGGGGTAAACAGTATTGATTTATCTCTGATATCCCCTAGTTAATGTCTCCTCAAAAGCAATGCCATTCTCCCTAGTTATTTTTTAATTTTTCATTTAAAAAAATTTTTAGAGAGAGGAAGGGAAGGAGGGAGAGGGAAAGGGAGGAGAGAGAGAGAGAGCGGGAGAGAGAGAGAAAGAGAAACATCAGTGTAAGAGAGAAACATTGAGTGGTTGTTTCCCTTATGTGCCCTGACTGGGGGTTGAACCCGAAACCCAGGCATGCACCCTGGCTGGGAAGTGAACCTGCCACCTTTTTGGTGTACGGGAGGACATTCCAACCAACTGAGCCACACAGGCCAGGGCTCTCCCTATTTATTTGGGGAAGGAATAATTGAAAATGGGGCAAAAGGAGCAGATAGTTGTTACTTCTCAAATACAGAGGCACTCTTATTTTGCTTTATTTTCACCCTACCGACTAGTGCGTGCCTGGTTTTTGTCAACCCATAGTAGGAGTTGACAAAAAAAAAATTTTTTTTAATTGTGTGCAAGCCCAGGGGTCAGTCTGGAGCAGCCATGGGCAAACTACAGCCCGCGGGCCGGATCCGCCCGTTTGAAATGAATACAACTAAAAAAAAAAAAAAAAAGACCGTACCCTTTTATGTAATGATGTTTACTTTGAATTTATATTAGTTCACACAAACACTCCATCCATGCTTTTGTTCCGGCCCTCTGGTCCAGTTTATGAACCCATTGTGGCCCTCAAGTCAAAAAGTTTGCCCACCCCTGCCCTGGAGAAGGCAGGAAGGTGCCTTCCTGTGAAGACAAAACACTTTGGTGCTAAGAACCTTTGACGTCGATCTTCATTTTTTAGCCGAGAAAACTGGAATTTAGAAAAGCTAAGGAAGTCATGCAGGATCACATGACCAGCTAATGGCAGTGCGAAGGGGACAGCTCACGTGCTTGAGCTCCTGGCCTTGTCTGTCGATGGTTTTACTTTCCTTTCCTATTTAAATTATAATGAAAATAACAAAAGCTTTTGAACAGTACCAAGAGGCATATGATGGAAAATGTCTTATTCCACCTCAACTTTGAAATCTCACCTCCTCAGAATTAACATTATTAATAGTTTACTTAATCTTACATGGAAAATGTGGTTAAACACACGCACATAGCCACACCGACACCACATTCATGGTAGCCGTATATACTGCTCTGCACCCTGTTTTTGTTTAACTTGCCATAGATCTTGGAGATCTCTCCATATCTGCACAACGGATAAACAGTTCCTCTTCAGAAGTGTTAGAGGATAAAGCCCCAAACGGGTACTACTTTGTACCCTTTCATTCTGCTGGCAGGCGTATACATTTATTTGACCCTCTTGAAAAGCAATTGATCACTTTTCTTCCACCCAAGTTTCAGGAATTATTTATTTTTAAAACACCTGAGGATGTTTTTCATGGATTCTAGTGAGAGAGGGAGCGGGAGAGAGAGAAACATCGATGTGAGTGAGAAACACTGATTGGTTGCCTCATGCACACACCTTAATCAGGGATTGGACCTGCAACCTGGGTATGTGCCCTGACTGGGAATCAAACCCGAGACACTTTGGGGCACGGGACGACACCCCAACCACTGAGCAACACCGGCCAGGGCAGAGCAATTATTTTAAGGGGATGATCTAAAAGGGGGAAATAAGCCTCATGCGTTAAAATAGATGTTACAGTTGGCTTTGTAATGTCTTTTACAAGCTCACTTCTCCCCGCCTGAAGCTGCAGGCCCCATGTCCACATTCTTATGGCCTTGGCCTCATCTAGGCGGTCTGGAAATTGTCCTGAGTCCATTTTTTCAGCTTTTATGTTATCTTGAGTTTTCCCTCTGAGCTCATTAACGTACTTCCTGGATCTACAGCCTCAGCCCCCACTGGCGTTCCATACCTGCCTCTGACCAATCTAGTGAGGACCGCAGGGAAGCAGGCCGTGGATGCAAGAAGCCAGCAGCATGGCTGCACATTACCCACGGGGCATGGCTAGACTCATTTTGCTTTCACATCTGTGGGTGATTACTGTGTACGCTCTTGGAAGTGCTTCCCCCGCTGACATTGATTAGTCTTGGTCTCCAGGAGATTGCTTTTGTGTCCCCACTCCCAACCAACGGGGGGTGGTGGTAAAGGGTTGAGTCATTGCAGAGGAGGTAATTGAAGTAGATTATGGATTTAGCTGATGGTCGACTTCCTCCATTAGTGCTGGATGGAGAGACTGCCCAGAGTTGGGCAATAGGCTCTCTTCAGGCCGTACTCACTGCCTGGGTCCAGAACAGACTTCTGTAGACCCTAAGAGCTCATATTTCTGGGGGTCCTCTCCTCACATCTTATTAAACAGATTTAAATTGCCCCACATTTCACATCAAATAATTTTTTTTTTTCTGAAACTTATTTTTAAAGGCTCTTTTATTTGCGCTTTCATAATTATTTGGATATGGTAAACTCCCCTAATTTATGATTGATTTCTTAAGACCTCTGTTCATACTTGGGAATTTCAGGAAGGTGAAAAAATGTAACCTACAAATTGCTTACAAATGTAATGAATATTTTATGAATATTTCATTTAACAATCAATGAAGTATGAATGTCACTTAAATATTTATTTACTTCAATTTCGTGGTTTTCTTTTGGTATCTTGGAACTTTTTTTTTTTAAAGATTTCAGATATTTCTTTGGCTCTGAAAGGTCTGGAGGCCTATGCACTGTGCCTGTGGCACCTCACGGGTACAATGCCGCAGATGCCCACAGCTCTTCCTCTATAGCAGTGGTCGGCAAACTCATTAGTCAACAGAGCCAAATATCAACAGTACAACGATTGAAATTTCTTTTGATAGCCAAATTTTTTAAACTTAAACTATATAGGTAGGTACATTGTTATTCATTTAATTAGGGTACTCCTAAGGCTTAGGAAGAGCCACACTCATGGGGCCAAAGAGCCGCATGTGGCTCGAGAGCCACAGTTTGCCGACCACTGCTATAGGGTCCCTGGCTTTGGGTTCTTCACAAACTTGTTTCTGCTTCAGATCTCCCTGATCTCAGTCTAAATGTCACCCCATCCAAGAAGTCTTTCTTGACCCTTTACTGGAAAGTAGTCATCCAGTCCTATTTTACTTCTCATTGTAGCACTTATCCTTAGCTGATATTAGTCTTTTAATAACATCTAGAGTCTAATAAATTCATTCTTGACTGATCTACCAATCTATGAACCTATAGATCAATTTGTTTAGCCCACTCCCACAGAGATCTAGTCAGTCTCCTCAAACCCCCCCAATATCTAACATAGTGCCCGACACAGAAAAAGTGTGCAATAATTTTTTATGAAGTGAATAAGATTATAATTATGATTACTATACACATTTACTAGCTCATTTATTGTCCCAGTATTGCTGTGTTTTGAGAGAAAGAGATAGGGTGGTGTGATAAGCAGAACAGTGGCCCCCAGCCTAATCCTGGGAATCTGTGAGTACGTTATGGTACCTGGCAAAGGGAAATTTAGGTTGCGGAGGGAGTTAAGGTTGTTTGTCACCTGACCTTATAATGGGAGTATCCTGCATTATCTAGTCGATGCTGATATAATCACAAGGGTCCTTTAAAGCGGACGAGGGAGGTGGGCAAAGCGGTCAGAGGGAGGCAATATGAGAAGGACTCCATGCACCCTCGCCAGCTTTGAAGATGGAGGAAGGGGGCTGTGAACCAAGGGATGTGAGTGGCTTCTATAAAACGGAAAAGGCCAAGGTGTGGATTCTTCTGAAAGCCTCCAAAAAGGCCTTTATTTTAGCCCAGTAAGACCCATTTCAGACTTCTGACTTTCAGGCCAGTAAGATAATACATTTGTATTGTTTAAGCCACCAAGTTTATGGTGCTTTGTTAATAATAGCAATAAAAAACCAATGTAGGTGGTAATGTCATTTCTATAGAGGAGGACAAAGTGGCTCATATCTGAGAGGCCACTTATCCAAGGTTATAAAGGCATTTGATATCAACTCATGCTACACTAGTTGGTCAGAATGTGTATTTTTCCTGTTAGCATCTGTTCCACTTATCTATTGCATCATAACAAACCAGCCCAAAGTGCAGTGGCTTAAAACAATGCATGATTGTCTTTTGTGGCTCTGAGGGTTGACCGGGCCCAGCTGGGAGATGCTTCCTCTAGGTCTATTATGTGGTTGCAGTGAGATGTCAGTCAGGCCTTCAGTCATCTGAAGGCTTAACAGAGGTGGGTGTCCACAGTGGCTCACTCGCATGCCTTGGTCTTCTCATGGCATGGCAACTGGCTTCTATGAGGTAGGAAGCAGAAGCTGCCAGGCCAGTAGGGGCCGCACCTGGCACTGGCACGCTGTCACTTCTGCCATATTCTATTAGTCAAAGCAATTACAGGGTCTAACCAGATTCAAGGGGGCAAAGAAATAAACTCCACTGCTTGATGGGGGAGTGGCAGGGTCACGCTGCAGAAGAGCATGTGGGAGAGGAGATACTTGTGCAGCCATTTTAGGAAAACATACTCTCCTACAGCATCCTTGGGCCCAAAAACTGTGAAGCAACACTACAATGAATTAAACAATAGCTATGTGCTGGCCTTGTATTATTGCAAGGCACCTGCTGGGCCTTGTGGAAGATGGCAGGATAGTCAAGAGTAGGCCCTGACCTAAAGCAGTTTGACATCTAGTGTGGGCACTGGGTGAAGACATTTAAGCACAGGGAGCTGTAAGAGGCAGCTGCTGGCAGTGGAGGGGAGGAAATGCTAAAGGGGTTGGGAAAAAGCGCCATGAGGAATGCTGCAGCCTTCCCTCAGCATCGGTCACGCTAAGCTTTGGCAAAGGGGAGAGCTGCTAGCAAACAGGCAAGGAGGCAGGAGAGTGCTGAGGCGTTTCTTGGGACCAATACCACGTCAGCTATTTTGGCTCAAGGGGGCGGGGTGGGGTTGCAGGGTGAATAGAGAGAAGACTTGGCTCTAGTCTACTTTGTGCTTCCTGGAGAAGGGAAACAGAGATTTAACCGATATTTGCCTGAGGCATGTATTCCTCTGACTCTTTAGTGGAAAACATGTAGAAGCAACACAGAACCTCCCCAAATTATCAAAACACATTGGATTTTCTTTATTAAATAGTCATACCACTTCATTGAATTAATTGACTGCCATGTGATGAATGCCAGAAAGCATGCTGGATTCTAATGGGAAGCCCTCTGTGCCCTTTCCACCTGTTTCTTGCAGCTCAATACCAGTGCTTTGCAGATAGCAACCCAGAATGGCCACACAGCCCTTGTCAGCCTTCTTCTCAGGGAGAACGCTGATCTGCACCAGAATGTGACGGTGAGTCTATTCCGATCACTCGGACTCAGATGGTAGCGCTGGGAGGCTGGCCTCTGGGAGATGCTCCTCGCAGATACGCGGTGGGGACGGGTGCTCACAAAGAAGGGATTCTTTCTGGGAAGGCCGACTGACTTCTTTTGGAGACTGAGTCTTAATCTTGAGAAATAAAATCCGAGGAATGAAATTTAGAAAGTCATTGAAGTTCCTGGAGAAAATGAAATCTGTGTGGTTTAAACATTTATATTTGCTATGTGTCTAGAGATGCCATTCTTCTTGTATTAAATTCATCAGTCTGGGCAAATGATGAAGCTGCTGTCAATAGGAAGGAGAAAGATCACGTTCCCTCCTTCAGGAACAATCTTGTTTTTCTTTTGAAAGTCAATCCTTTAGGCTGATTTCGGTTTTCTGAAGTTTGAATTGGCTTTGGTAAAACTTACAAAGGTTCTCTGTGCTGGAATTAGATGGGAAACATTCCTCTATTTTTCACCCTGTTTTTCTTTCCTCCTGTGAGAATATTATTTCCTCGGATCTTGCTTAACCATTACTATTTATTGTATTAACTCCAGAGAAGCGATGTGCTTTCAGCCACGGCTGGTAGTTTTGGGAGAAGGGCGTTGAGGAATTGGCCCGGAACTTGCCTGGCCCATCCAGAGATGCTTCCTTGTCCTCAGGAGGGGCTGGGCCCCAGCAGGGCCGGTGGTCCAGCAGGAAGGACACTGCCCGCTCCCTGGGAGGGGGGATACTTGTTCCTCCTCTCTTTTTTTTCATGCTCAGTGTGTCAAGAGGGAAGGTTCCTCCTGAGCAGATGGGGCCTGTGCAGAAAGCCTTCCCTTCACATTGCCCCCTCCAGCCCCATCTGTCTCCCATTTCCCTTGATCACCCTCTGCCCACTCCCACATATGCTCTCCTGCTGCTCTCTACTTTCCTCCAAAGCCCTTACCATAACATGTAATTGTATATTTATTTTGTGACTAAAAAACAAACAAGCACCACTTAATATTTGCTTCCCCCACTAGATTGGAAGATTCCTGAGAATGGGCCATGATCACCACTCAGTCCCTAGTGTCTTGAAAAGAGCCTGGGCTTCAGGGTATAGTTCTAGAATGAATGAAGGGGGAAGCTGGTCGCTGGTGAGCAGGTTTGCTGCCCAGCCTTGGGATGGAGATGACTGCTGAGCACGGACTAGGGGTCATCCCTGTGCTGGGCAAGTCGGTACTCAGAGTATTAGGAATTGTCTGCAGAAATGAGTCACTTTTTTATATGAAGGAGGAAGCCAGAATGTTTGTATTTGAAATTTTTGTTTCTTTCTGTAGCCTAAGGCGTCCGCCCTTCGTTTAGCTGTTATCAACAACCACATCGCCTGGTCAACAGCTTAATAAGTGCACAGCATGACACTGACGTCTTAAATCAGGTAAGTCAGGCAAGTCAGAACCTGGAGTGTCTCATATGTTCCAGCACAGTGTGTGTTTAGGGGTAGTTTTGATCAAGTTCAAGGCGCTCTAAAATGTCCTGAGAGGAATGTGCACATTCTTTTTATCCTTGTTTTCTCTGTAACCTGCACACAAATACTTCATCTTTTTCAAACACACAAACGGGGCTCTGCCACTACATTTATTTAATGGGCCTGGCGTTTCTGATAGATGATCAGTAGCTCAGAGGTAAGTTCCCAGAGGCTCTTTAAATGAAAAGCTCCGCCCCCAGTTGAGATGTTGTCATTGGGGGCGAGGGAGGGGAGGTGCTTTGCCACGAGAAGGAAGCTTTGTTTCTATAGTATAGACCAGGGGTGGGCGAACTTTTTGACTTGAGGGCCACAATGGGTTCTTAAACTGGACCAGAGGGCCGGAACAAAAGCATGGATGGAGTGTTTGTGTGAACTAATATAAATTCAAAGTAAACATCATTACATAAAAGGGTACGGTCTTTTTTTTCAATAGTTTTATTCATTTCAAACTGGCCGGATCCAGCCCTCGGGCCGTAGTTTGCCCACGGCTGTTATAGACAGTATTTTAGCCCAGAGGCAAAATCTTGGAATAAAAATCACCATGATTTCAATCCACGGGAGCAGCATCGAATACCCCATAAAAGGAATCCATTTCTGGCTGGAAGTGGACAGGTGGGGGTGGGAGAGTGAAGAGGGTGGGGATGGGCCTGCCCTCAGGCGGCTGCCCTCTCCCAGGAGCTGCTGGGAGGGAATGGGAAGGGAAGCTCTCCGGAGAGGAGCCCTCCCAGAACCCTGAGGCTGCCTCTTCCCAGAGAAGCCTGGGCTGTGCCCTGGGGTGGAGCCGGCCAGGTGGGTGGGCATGCCAGCTAACCTGCTGCACATCTGTCCACCGGGGCACCCACTCAGATCTGTGTCGTCTCCTCGGAGCTCACCTGTGCCCTGAGCTGATGGAGACCATTGCCCTTCTGTGCCTCCTTACCCGGGGACCTTCCTCCTTCCCCATCTTCTATCCCAAAAGTTTGGGGGAAGAAAAGCTCCTCTTGTTCTTAAATATACGTATGTGCTCAGCTATGTTAATGCCCTTTCCTACTAGATCCACTCCAGAGAAGGAGGGTATGCTAGCTACCATCCAGTTATAAAACCAGACTTGATTGTTTTAATTTGTTGTTAGACCAGGAATGCATTTAGTATATGAAAATAAGAAAACATAAATAAGCTAAAAATTTATAATTTATTTGTAATCTCCCCAAAGAAGGAGAACTCTTGTTAGCATTTTGGCGCATCTCCTGCTTCCTAGACTTACAGCAGCACTGTCACATGAGATTTTACGAGGATTTGACGTTTTACACGTGTGTCTCCCTTCCACGTTGGATAGGCCTGCGGTAGGTTTGTCAGTGTAAGTGCAGTGTCTGGGGTGATGATCCCCCTGAGGGGCCCGCAGCCATCCAAGAGTCTTTAATAAGTGCACGTTGATACTAATTATGGGAATGCCCTACGCACACTGGCCTGTGCACTGGTAGGAAGAGTACTGGGCTCGATTATTGCCCAGCTGTGTAACCTGGGGAAGTTGCTTCCTTTCTCTGGTTTAGGGGCGGGGCTACATCACAACCAACATTCTGTCCCAATATTTTAGAAACGTTTCACATCAGCAGTACTTTGGGTGGTAGATTAAGGTGGGTGGCTGCTCATGACTTCAGATATTCTTTGAGACACTCTCATCCTCTTAATAGGAAAATGATTGTTCCAGAAAGAAATGAGAAGTCCTATAGTCTCTTATATGTTACAATGCAGGAAACTTACAAAATAGAAGAGGATGGAAAATAAAAGTAACTTCTGATCCCACTATCTAGATATTATCACTCTTAAGATCATGGATGTACTTTCTTATATAAATTTATATACATATAAATTTATTGAGCTCAGCTAAATAAAATGTTGTTTCCTTGTTTCCTAAGGCTTTTAATGTTAAGTATTTTTTCCATTTTAAAAAATAATATTTGAAACTATTTTTTATTGCGGCAAAATATGCATCACATAACATTTACCTTTTTAACCATTTGTAAATGTACAGCTGAGTGGCATTAAGTATATTCACATTGTTTTGCAACTATCACAACCATTCATCTTTCCCAAACTGAAATGCTATTTCTATTAAATAGTAACTCCCCAGACTCCTCCCCTCAGCCCCTGGCAACCACCATTCTACTTCCTGTCCCTATGAACCTGACTGTTCTAGGCACCTCATATTGAAATCACTTTTTAAAAACTAACTTTAATAGTTACCTACCATTCCAATATATGGGTATTCCATAGTTCATCTAATGCAGTGGTTCCCAATGTGGGGCACATGCCCCACAGGGAGGCAATTTGATTTTGAAGGGGGGCAATTGGAGAATGAGTTATTAACAGTGAATTTTGTGCATTTCTTATGGTTCTAGAGGCCTCATATACAGTGTGTAAAAATATATTGTGACATATTTATGCATTTCAGCTCTCTATTATATGTTCTGAAACTTTATTTGCTATTTTTTCATGTCACTTCATATTATTATTTTTTTAACAGTTTCTTAGTGATTTCTTCCTCAGTACTTCAACTGTCCTTTCATTCTTTTATTTTTTTCTTTCATGGATGCCATGTTCTTTGGAAGCTTGTTTAGACCAAGTTAATGGCCTTTTAGGCTTCCTCCACGTGAATAGGAGTTTACTTTTTGAATAATAAGAATTATATGTCACGGGGCGAGGGGGTGGCATCAGGATATTAGAGATGCTTAGGTGGGCATGGCCAGAGAAAGGTTGGGAACCACTGATCTAATGAGCCTCCTTGTTAAACATGCAACTTCCTATCCGTTTTTCACTGTCATAAACAGTACTGCCATGAATGTCCCCTGCGCGTACTTAAGAATATGTGATCTTATCTGTTTTTCCTGATGTTGATATAGAACACTATTTTCCCTTTGTCTTGTCACTATGCAAGTTTTTCCCCTTCTTAACAAGCTTGGCTCACAGTTTTGAAATTTCTCATGGCAGAGGCAGCAGACTGCTTTGCACGTAGCTGCCGACCTTGGGAACGTGGATGTGGTGGAAACCCTGCTGAAGGCAGGCTGTGATCTGAAGGCTGTGGATAAGGTAACTTCATGGACTTCACTCTGCAGCTGCGATGGTTGCTGAGAACGCCCTGTTGGCTGGAGGCCTTGAGCAGCAGCATAGCCTTTGTGAAATGGACACAAACTAGAGAAACCTTTGTCTTGATAATCAGTAAAGCATCCCAAGATAAATCAGTAAGATTTTTTACTCTGAACAATAAAATGTGTTTTTAAAATTCAAATTATTTATTAATTTTTTGAAAAGATTACAGATTCACATGGTGCAATATATATAATTAGTAAAGGTTTGACAGTAAAAATTTCCCGCCCACCCCTGTCCCTGTTTGTCTGGTTCCCATACTACCCTTGACATATGTATCCATTATCATACATTTCTCTGTTCTTTCTAGAGTTTCTTTCTGCATAAGTAAGCGAACATAAATATATTTTACTCTTCTTTTATTCCTCTGTCCTTTTTACACAGTGGTGATATACCTCTACATATTGTTCTGCATGTAGCGTTTTTGCTTTAACAATATAAAATGGTGATGGTCCCATATTAGTACGTGGAGAGTTCATCCTTTTTTACACAAGTGCATAATACAGTGTGGTATGGACATATGGTAATTTAGTCCTCAGCTGATGGCCATTTAAGTTGTTCCTAAGCTTTTACTGTTATAAACAGAGCTGCAATAAACATACTCATGCATGTCTAAACTTTTTATTTTAAAAAGTTTTTAAATGGTAAAATACACAAAACATAAAATTACCATCTTGATCATTTTTAAGTGTGCAGTTGAGTATTGTTAAGTACCTTCTCACTGTTGTGCAACCAATCTCTAGAACCTTTTCATCTTGCGAAACTGAAACTCTATGAACAACTGCCCATTTCCTCCTCCTCCCTTCCTCCCTACCCAGGCCCTGGCAACCACCATTCTACTTTGCCTCTATGAATTTGACTGCTCTAGGCACTTCATATACGTGGAATCCTACAGTACTTGACTTTTGTAATTGGCTTATTCACTTAGCATAATGTCCCCAAGATTCATCCATGTTGTAGCATGTGTTAGAATTTCTCTTATTGTATACTAGAGGCCCAGTGCACGGATTTGTGCACTGGTGGGGTCCCTCGGCCTGGCCTGTGGGAATCATGGACCTCCACACCGCCACAGCCCAGCCTTACCCGCTAGCTCGTTGGGCTCCAGTCTGCTGTCCACGATGATCCCGCACAGCACGAAGTAGTGCACGAAGTGGCATGTGGCCAGGGAGGAGCCCAAGCCTGAGCCTGGGCTGGGTGCCAAGCCACTCCCGCTCATCCTATCCCCGCTGTGCCTGGGTACGCAGCGGGTGTTGGTGGGAGAAGCTCATGTCATAGCTGTGCTCGCCAGCCATCAGCCCGGGCGTCTGATGCCCATCTGTCAGCTGAGCAGAGCTCCAGCTGTGGGAGTGCACTGACCACCAGGGGTCAGCTCCTACATTGAGCATCTTCCCCCTGGTGGTCAGTGCGCGTCATAGCGACCCGTCAGTTCCGCTGTTTGGTTGATTTGCATTTTAGGGTTTTATTTGAACATTTGGGTTGCTTCCACCTTTTGGCTATTATGGGGACTTGTTTGATGAAAGAATGCAGGCTCAGCCATTGGAGGGTAGTGGGATGACTGTCCATGAGCTTTACTGAATGATGGAAAAGCTACAGACTGCTGGTGGCAGCCCTGTGAGTTGCTCACACACGCCATCTTCCTTCAATCCTCACATGTCTTCTGTGAAGGGGACAAAAAACCCTACTTTTTAAGACAAGATTTGAGAAATGTTAATGACAGCAGGGGTACACACATAGTAAGAGCCTGTCTTCAAAGCCACGGCTCCTGGCTGCTCGATTGTCCGGTGCTTTCCCGTCTTGTCTTCTCCCAGACAGTTCACCAGCTCGGCATATCCCTAATTCCCAGTTCAATCACCCTACTCTACTTCTGAATCACACATTTTACATTTTAGGATTGAAAGTAGTGATATGCTATTTTACTCTTCTCTGTATGCCACTTTTTTAAATTAACTCTTTTTTCTGATAATAAAAATAATACAGTTCCTCTGTCGACAATCTGGAAAACATAGAAAGGCATAAGGAAAACACAACCACCCATAATTCCATGACTTAGGTGGCACCTCACGAGTTGTAGCTCATTAGCTTCTAATAACATTTAGGATTAGTATTAACATCCAGTGTTAGTATTTTCCTATGCTTTCTTTTTGTACTTTATTCTACTCTTTCATTAATATATAACACCTCCAGGGCAACCTTGGGGGGTGGAGAATCTATATAGCATTGCAGGGACTTCATGTTGGGTCCCTTGGTGATAGTGGACTGGCTATTTGAGTAAACACTGTTAATACTACGTCTTGACTTTGTTTTCAGAATAGCCCACAGTTTACTAGACCTCACAATTGATTTCCCCAGATTTTCCTTCTCCTCCTCTTTCTTTCCTCTCAGGGCCTAGAATATAGTTGGCACCAAACACATTGAATTAATAAATAAAAGCTACCTTTTCTATCTGCTCCCACAATTTTTACCAAAGATAAGTGACTGTTTCCGACTCAGTTAAGACCTGGATGGGAAAAAGGAGCCAAGGTTTGGTATACATTTGACTTTCCCAGAAGCCTGTTCTCTGGGCCTGAGCTATCCCAAGGCTCCCCGGGGCCTTCCACCCTCAGTGGCGTAAGTGTTTGGATTTCCACTCCAGCACTCACGCCGGGGGAAGGGTTTCTTTTTAAAAAATACATATTTTTAATGACTTCAGAGAGGAAGGAAGAGGGATAGAGAGATAGAAACATCGTTGATGTGAGAGAATCATTGATAGGCTGCCTCCTGCATACCCCACACTGGGGATCGAGCCCTCAACCTGGGCATATGCCCTTTCCAGGAATTCAACCGTGAACTCCTGGTTCATAGATCGACACTCAACCTGGCCATGCTGGCCAGGCCCAGGAAAGGTTTTCTATGAGCCTGAAAACTGGCTCTCAGAATGCTGCCTTCCCCAAATAGGCTAATTACAGTGATGCAAATGGCTTTACAAGCCAGAATTTAGACAATGTATACTTAGAGGCTTGCTAAATGCCTGCAATGTGCAGTTCTTCCTAATTTCATTACTGTCTCTTTTGATTAGAAGGTGATTACTTTCAGCCCTAATTTTTAGGCTCACCTGGGTCTTAGTGCCTGCCCTAACAGCCAAACCATTTGGGTTGCTGGGAGTTGCAAGTAGTCAGATGTGAGAGAATTATTGAGATAAATTTCTGGATCCCTAAGCATAGAAACATAGGTTCCTGTGATTGGAACTTCTTCTTGGGTTATGTCTGACTATTCATTTTAATTTTTGTCAGGATTCTTGAGCAAATTTTTCATGGGTCATTGGCAAAACAAAGGGAACTGCCCCTTTTTGCTCAGGAAAATAAAATGTATAGACGTCTAGATTGTGTACTGCATAAAATCTAGGGGAAAACATCTGGAGTACACTGCTTGCAAAGCTGTGTGCCTGGCTTTGAGCCATATCCATCCTGACAAAGGCGTGCCTTCTGTAATTTATCTAAGGTACCATATCAGCTCCAGGCCACTCCTGCCCCAAATTATGTCTAGAATAGCCCTTATTTATCAGACTATTTGGTTAAGATTTCCAACCTCATCCTTGGTTAGAGGCAATATGATATAATAGAAAACAAATTCTAGTTAGGAGCCCAGCAAGCTGAATTCTGTGCTATGAATTAGTCATGTTGTCATGAGTGATATTACTCTTAATAAAATCTAGCCCTTTTCTGTCTTATTACCCTTCTTAACGCACGGCTTCTGCTTCCTGGGCTAAGGTGGCTGTTGAAGCTCCTACCGCCATGCCAGCATTCCACTCAGGAGGAGGAAAGGAAGGAGAGTGATATCCCTCCTGTATTTAAAGATACTTCCCAGAAGTTGCATGTACCGCTGGCCAGAACTCAGTACAAGGGAGACTAGGAATTGTTTGGAGTGGCCAAGTGCCCAGCCCAAACCAAGAGGTCTCTTCCTATAGAGGAAAGGAAGGAAAGGCTATGGAAGCGTGGGGGCATGGCCGCTTACTAAAGCCTCTGCCACAGGTCGAGTCTGCCTTTGGAGGAGAAAAGGTACAATCATGTAATTTATTTGCTGAGCACATCCCAGGGCAGTGAGCCAGGGAGAACCCGGGGGGTATTGGAGAAATGTTTGGGTTCTCATTGGTAGAGCATGTGTGAAATATTACTTGTTGATCGTGAGTCCCTAGCCCAAACTCTTTCCCTTGCCCAGATGACCCAACACCAGACACGATCAATATCTAGCATTTCTTGGACAATTTACATGTGTCATGCATGACATGTCCTAAGGGCATTACATACATTATCTTATATACCTCTCACCACGACACCATGAAGTAGTTATTGAGATGGAGAGCAGCTAAAGACTGGCCCAAGTTCACCCTGCAAGGAAGCAGTAGGGTTAGGATTTGAACCCAGGCTCCCTTGTTCTAAAACTAGAGCTCCTACCTACCCAGTGGTTCTCAACCTTCCTAATGCCGCGACCCTTTAATACAGTTCCTCATGTTGTGGTGACCCCCAATCATAAAATTATTTTTGTTGCTACTTCATAACTGTAATTTTGCTACTGTTATGAATCGTAATGTAATTATATATGTGTTTTTCCGATGGTCGTAGGCGACCCCTGTGAAAGGGTCGTTCGACCCGCAAAGAGGTCGTGACCCACAGGTTGAGAACCGCCTAGTAACTAGGCCATCCCACCTGACACTTTCATTTTCAACTTTCAGCAAGGGAAGACTGCCTTGGTGGTGGCCTCCCAGAGCAACCACAGCCTTGTTGTGGACATGCTCATAAAAGCAGAAAGATACTATGCCTGGAGAGAGGCAAGGAAGGACGATACATTAAAAATGCATTTTTTGTGGTGACATTTCCTTAGCCAAGGCATCACCTCTGTTTTCTTTGGGGGTGGGGAAATAGTGGGTTGCGACAGAAGCAAGGGACACAACACTCACTGTAACATCCCTCACATTTCCTGTGTCAGGCAGACAGTACTCACATTCTGAGAACAGCACGGTAGTAATGAATCTGACAGTCTGAAAAGAAAACCCCAGGATAGACCTAGAGGGCTCTCGCCTGCAGGGAGGTGTTGCAGTGTCTGATGGACCTGCTGAGAATAGCTCCCTAGTAAGGGAGTAGTTGCAATAGTGCTCTCTTGTGGACATTCTGATAACAGCATCCTGTTAAGGGATTCGTTGTTTTTTTGTCTCCATCTTGAATGACAAAAATGATCCAATGATACATAACATTGAAAAGGTAGTCCTGGTTACCCCCTTACCAGTTATATCTGAAAATATTTGCTCTGAAATAAGGCAATAAGCAGAAAATATCTAAAATCATTTGATACCATTACTTTCCATTTAGAAGCATGGTGAGAGCCCCAGGGACGCACCAACCAACTTTCCTCTGACATTCAAGCAAGATCACAGCCAGGAGACCAGGCATATTGACAGTCTCCTCTGGAACCTGGCTTATCGTCGGCTGAAGGCCAGCGAGTGACAGAGGCCGGCCCGAGCATGGAACTTCACAGATGACCAGATCAGAGCCATCGAGGAGCAGTGGTCAGGTGAGCACCCCCAGGTGATGTGGGCAGAGGCGTTCAGTGTTGGGAACAACAGTCCTTCCTGGTGGCAGATCTTCCAGGTAAGTGCCAGGGACACAGACTCGGGGCTCTCTCAGAGGATGCCAAGACTCCAGCTGTCAGAACTAGTGAGGTCACGTCAGCTGGAGTCCTTAGTTTTGCTTTTTAATGATTTGGCCCAAACCTAGGAAAGATAGAAAGCTTGTTTGGCATTAATCAACCAATTAACTTTATAAACAAAGAAGCCAACACTTTCCTTGGGAAAACTTTCTACTTATAGCAATTCCCATATGTGGGTATCATGAGATGTGAACAAGCCCCATGCTATCGTTGACTTGCACCGCTGATTGCTGGGGACTGTAGACACAGAAGCACATCCCCTGACCCCGTGCTACTTGTACCACAAGTGATGGTGCTTTTTATGGCTAATTCTGGGACACATTTTCATGTGAAGAAAAAGGGAAAATATTGAATATTGACTATAGTTTCTGAAAAGAATTCTTTGTTATTTCTCCTTTGTTGCTAATTAGACATATATGTTCTGTGAAGTCTTTAGGAAAGTTGTCTTCTGGAAAGCGCTCTTGGCCTAAAGAAATGGTTTGGAAATATAGTGTGCCCTCTGAGTACTTGCCATCAGAGTAGGGGACGTTTAAAATGTTTCAGGCCAACACTGCAGAGTGCCTACACGGGGCCTACCTCTGCCAGGTGAGGGTCCATTGGCTCAGTAAGCCATGGCACATGTTCGATGCAGTTTGAACCCTCGTTGGCATGATAACAGTAACATTTACAATCCACTTATATTGTGATTCCGGTAGTGGCACCAGGGAGTTGGTGGACTTTTGAACAGAGGCATGGCAAGTTAATGATGGTATTTAAGGAAAATTAGTTGGGCAAGGGCAAGATCAGAGGGTTCACCTAGGAGTACGTTCTTTATGTGCACAGTTCACTCTCCCTGAAACACAGGTCCCTCCAACAGTCTGTCCCATGAACTTCCTCCCGAGCTCAGGCCCAGCTCCTGGGCACACACTCCACTGAGCCAGAAGCCTGTCCTGTGTTTGACTGTGACCTCCTACTGCAATGGCAGTGGCTTCTCATCTCCACATCCCAGCACATCCCCCACACTTCTCAGGGGTCAGGTATCCAGGGAGTACTTGCCGGGGTTCAAGTCCCAGCATCAAGAAGGGTTCATGAATCTGGAAAAGGCGCTGAGCGTAGATGACATAGAAATCCAGAGACTAATAAAGAGTCCCGAGAAGAGAGATAATTTTGAAAGGAATTGGGGGTCAGAGAATCTTCAGCTAAAGAAACGGAAGAGTCCCTCCTTGTCTAGGACCCTTGTTTTTTATTAACACAATTTGTCCTAAGGCAAGGTGGAGATAATACACTTCAAAGGGTAAGGTTTCAAAGGGTACAGGGTCCATTGTCAGAATGGGGGAATAGCCTATGGCTGTTCAGGTGTTTGGCCAGTAGGAGGCAATAACATGTAGATTAAGATGCCCTTTAACTGTCTGGCAGCCACAATCAGTTTCCTATTCAGGTTTGGGGAAATGCCTTTAGCCAATCCCAACAGATGACTACATGTGTGACTCAACCCTATTGAGTCCCCAAGTCTCATCAACCTTTTGATGAAACTCTTGAAATTATGACATGCTGGAATTGGTCTACGGCAAGTACTAGTATTTGCCCAGCACTCACTGGTCCAGAGAGGGGAGGGAATGCAGACATCCACCAGAAACTGGAGTGGCAGGTTGCTACCTGCTGCTGCTCAGAGTGTGGGTAACGGGCAGCAGCAGCAGCAGCAGCAGCACCCGAGAGCTTCTTAGACATGCAGGTCGTCACCCCAGACTGACTGAGTCAGAACATGCATTTTAACAAGATCCCCAGGTGGTATAGGCACTTTAAGTTTGAGTTTAAAAAGCTCCAGGTCTCATTAAGATTGTCCCTTCCCGCAGGGCAGGGATGTGGCTGTGAAATCTTGAGTCCGCTCCTCTGGGCTGTGTCAAGCACAGCGGGTGCATGGCCAATGCTGGCGTGAGTCCCCACGCTGGTCGCCCTAAAGCAGCACCAGTGGGGGCAGCTGGAAGGGCTCTCCTCCCCTGGGGCTTTGATCTAACCATCACCAGAAGAGCAGCCGCAGAGGAGTTCAGTTAAGACTTGAGATCCCAGGCACAGAGACAGCAGCAGCAGGTGGTGTTTTGCCTCTGACCTTGTGTGTGTGGCACAGGACAGGACAGCTTCCGTGAACACGGCCACAGGGCTCTGCTCATCTGGCTGCATGGGGCCCTGATGATGCAGGCCGCGCCGGTCAGGCACCTGTACGAAGACCTGGTCCGCACAGGTTTCCAAGAACTAGCTGGTGAGTGACAGTTTTCAATAGATACACACTCCTGGTCCCTTGAAATGTTAGGGGACCGTTGGCAGAGACACTGCCCTGAACAGCAACGGTCCCAGCTTGGGATTCACTGGGGCTCAGTCAGCATAGGCAGCTTCTTTGGTGAGTGACTCAATGAGTACTTGTTCTGTTTTTTCAGTCTTCAGTGTTAAGTGGGCATTTGAAAAAGTACAGGAGTATTTTTGTCTATGTGTGTGTGCGGGGGCGGGGGGGGGGGGAGGAAGGAGGGCAGGGAGAATAGGGGAGGTGACAGGGGGACAGGAACGCTGAACTAGGTCATAAGGATAGTTCTCCACCACCAAGAATTGTCTCGCTCCAGATGCTACTTGGCCCCTGTTGGGATACGGCAAGTTAGTGCGTTTGAAAATGTTATCTCCAGGTTGAAAGAAAAGAGCAGGCAGCCTGTTGCTTTGCCAGCTGAGGTTAGTGCTAAAAATTACTCTGCCAAAGATTATCTTATCAGGGAAGATGCTTTGAAAACTTACCAATAAATTAGGTGGTGTTATAACTTACATGTAATCATAACCATTCATGCAAAATATAGCAACATCTGCCATTTTTTTTCATGATTCGGCTTTACCTGAAGCTGAGACCATACTTCCACAAATCAGACACCTGATCCAATATTGAGTTTCAAGTATAAGGAATAGTGCCTGGACGATGCCTACTTTCCATGACATTGTCCTCATAGCACTGGGGAAGTGTATCCATAAGAACTCCCAGGGAGTGCCTAGAGGCATGTTCTGAAGGGATGCAGGGCATGGGCTCTGAACTTCATGTCTGCACGCCAATGCTAACAAGCTGTGTGACCTTGAGACGTTCTGTAACCTCGCTGTGCCAGTGTTCTCATTTATTAACTAGGAAAAAAGGCATCTGGCGAAGGGCTGTTGTGGGATTAAGTGTGTAATAGTGCCTGGCACATAGTAAGTGCTTAATAAATGTTAGCCATTAATAATAAATGTCATGCTATTTTTTTCCAGAAAAGATCCGTCAATTCAAAAATGAAACTAACTCAAAGCCCAAGAAATGTAGTTTCATAAATGCCTAGAGAAATTGTATTTAAATGATTTTCCACTCAGCATCCAGTCCTTTGACGTTCAGCTCTTGAATGCCATGAAGTCCCTCTAGCAGGATTGATTTTCAGCTATGAGGATGGTGGAAATAGATCCCTAGCAGATGAAAAAGTGGTATTCTACTTCCCAACCACTGAACTGAAAAGTCAAAAAACACTTCTGGCTTTTGCTTAAGGCAAGTTGTATATGATTTTCCCATTTCTGTCATTTGATGTAACATATGTGATAGCATAATATAGGAGGATTTTGTACCTCATGTTTTAGAAAAATATGGTGGGAGCGGCATCATGGCATACAGGAAAACCGGGAATTTTAAGATACACATGGTTTTGAGTTGTGATTTTGCCATTTTTTAATTATGAAACTTTGGGCATTCTAATATTCAAATTTCCAAATCTCCAGTTTCCTCCTTTATAAAAATGGGAGAAATACCTGCCATAGCAGTTTGGTGAGGAAGGGAGAATGCCTGAAGGCTCATGTCCATAGTATTGACCTCATTAACTGTTATTTCTCTTGTGAGTGAAATTGGCTTTGGAAATTATGGTCACTGTTGGCTTTAAATAACACATATGTGTAGTATGTATGGAAAGGCCAGAAGTATGTATACCAATATTTTTTATCTCTTGGTGACTTAATTATAGGTGACTTTATTTTCTTTGTACTTCTTGGTACTTTACAATTTTTTCCACAATGAACATGTATTATTTTTGTAATCTGAGAAAGTTATTAAACATGAAATCAAGTACCAATTTATGGCAGTTTATATGCACCTATTCATTATAATTTAAGTCTCTCCATTCTTAAATTCTGATTCTAGGTCTGTAAGGCCAGAAATAATATCATGAGCAATTTCAATCCAGTTATTCTATCATGAATTTATAGTTCTACATCTTTGGCCCAAATAATGTTATGTTTAGAACAGTTAATATGTTCACATGATTCTTAAGTTTTAACAAAGGTGTTCAGTGAAAAGTTTTGTCTCCGTCTGTTCTTCAGTCTGGCCAGTTTCTACTGACTTTGCTACTCCTCTTCCTGCCCCCAACCCAAATCTGGGTAACCTCTTTCTAGAAAAATAAATATGAATGCATACTCTTATTGTATAAAGTGTTTTAATTGTGGAATTTACGTTAACTTAGGCTAACACTAATTACTTGATGCTTTATACCATTTAGTTTCCAGAACTTAAAAAAGATTTATAATATTCTTAATTACAGTATTCCTAATATTGACTTCAGTTTGTCCACATGGTTATGGCTCCTAATTGTAATTGAGGCTCTTAAAAAAGCGGAGCCTGAAGCCAGTTTACGTGCCACTGCTTCTTTCAGGAATGCGAACTCAAGGGAGCAGGAGTGAAGGAAAAGGGGTGATAGGGCGATGGAGGGAGAGCCTAGAACAGGATGAATTACCATATTAGCCACCACTTGGTATCAAGCACAACTTATTTGACCTCAAGGGTACTCTTTTCAAAGAGATGAGAGATGGGATGGCTATGCATAGCGGGGAGAAAGGAAGACTTGATCTGTTTACCACAATGGGTGTTAATTCAGGGCTGCATGAGTGGACTGCAAATGGAGCCTGCCTGTCCCTCATGACTGGACCGGGAGGGGAGGAAGCCCTGGGAGGGGAGGAAGCCCTTGGGGAGAGGAAGGGGGCAAGGAGATTGCCCTCTGTACAGGCAGCAGATGAGGTGCTGTTGGTTTGTGTTTGTTGTAACCCATGAGCTGTTTGCCACAGTAGTAGCTGGGCCAGAACCCAGAACAAGTTTGGCATAAGAAGGATCTAATACTCTAAGACATGGCCAGATACTTCTAATAATTCAGAAAAGCCCTGATTTGCCCCTTTAGAAAATGGGATATCTGATGTCCTGTTAACAATGTAAGGACATAAGAAAAACTGTTTCCTGCAACACAATTAGAGCATAGAACTAGGTCATATTCAAAATGGAAGAGGCTTCAGATTATTAAATCTATCCACTCCTGTTAACAATACGGAAATTGAGGCCCTAGACTTCAGAATCTACTCATGTTTTATGCACCCATAAGTACTTTAACCCAGGCAGCCAGCAACGAATCATTAGAAGCCTGGTTCTGTACTGCTTGGCCAGTTTTGCCCAGATGGTTTCTTCCTATTGGCCAGCATTGAAAAGTCTCTACGCAGGCTTGGCAGGTTTGCCGAGTTGCCCAGGGCTACACCACTCCAGGACACTGGACGTTTAGAGAGAACAACATGGATTCCAAACTGAGGTTTCCAAAGAGGCAAGGAAGAATATCAGAAATAGGATCATTCTAATAGAAAATTTTCTTTTGATGTTTCTGTAACTGTGTTTTTGTGCTGGTAAATTTTTTTCCTTTTAACATCAAAAATTATTCATAGGTGTTGCCATTTCCCCGTTTTTAATTGCTGGACTACTAGAAAATGAAAATAAATACACTACAGTCACAAAGAACTGTGATATAAATATCACTACTCTTGGTCTTTATCTTTTTCACTTAAAAATAAAAATACCTTAGTTTCAATTAGTTTTAATAATTTTTAAAATAAACTTCTCTTAAAGTTTACTTAGTAACCTTGGAAATGATTCAGCTTTGTGGAATAATGTCGAGAAAACAGGATTTATACACTTTGATGATATAATTAGCCACAGGCTGAGCCTGTTAAAAAATATAGTGCAGTTTTTTAATTTAAAAAAGTTTTACTTAATTGCTTAAATTAAAAAAATAACATTAAAATAATCCTACATATTATTTTACAAAGGATGGTGTGGCTTGAAAAAGTCTCTTATACTTCTGAAAAGGTGAACATGATGTATCCATGATGTTCTAAAAATACGGAAAAATTTGAAACTAAAGACTTCTAATCCTTGGTAAAACCAGAGCACTTAAAAGATCTTAATATGAACATATTCATTTCAGTCAACCACTTTGATGGAATGAACGCTTGTGAGAGACTGGGTGTGAGTTGATCTGGTTCCGAGAGATCTGGAAGCTGAGGTAGTACTTTCAGGATGAATAGTCCGGGGGTATTTTGCTGCAGCAGCTTGAGGAATGGTTTGCTGAAAAGATAAAAATCTTTTTTTAATAATCCTATAAAATTACACATATTAAATGTCATTTTATCATTTATAATTTAACCCAACATTTGTTAAGTGTCAAGCAATGAATTGAAGTAGTGGTTACAACAAGTTGTGATCCTTTTCCATAAGAAACCCATAGCCAATTAGACTGATGTGCTCAATACCCGTAATTTATGCGAGAGGAGCACAGAGAGAGCCATGGGAGCATTCATTTCTCAAGGAGGACTCAACTGGATGGAATCTTATGCTTACAGAGGCGAAGTGCAGAAAGGGACTTTGTGGTGTCTGGAAGAAGGGTCCTACCCCACAAGCCCTCCACTGGGATATGTGGAGTCCAGTCCTGGGGAACATGTAAGGAATCCAGTCTGGTCCTTGCTTCAAACCAGCATAAAGCAGGCCTGTCATATTTCACCTGGGAACTGACTAAACCTTTTATGGTGACACAAGAGGAGGACTTCTCAGAGGCCTGGTGCTCCCTTCACATGGACCACAACTTTCTAAAGAAAGAAATAAGTAGAGACTAGGGACACATGTTGAGGGGAGGACATGCACACTGCCTCCGAGCTCAGAGGAACATCTTAGACATGAGCACTGATGCATTAAAGTCAGGACACATCTGCCTTCATCTATACATGCAGATGTTCAAGTTCGTATTATGTACATAAGTTCACATTACATGTATACATCTGTGTAATATGTAGACATGTAAGGCTTTCCTGTATTATACCCAATACAGCTTCTCAGTAGGCCACAGAGGGATGTGTTATGCAGATGAGTTCTCAGTTCATGTCACTGACTAGCACATGTAGGCTCTGATTAGGGTCTCCCACTTAGAATAGCCATCTCTAAAATACTTGAAGTAAAATTATATATATTTGATCAAAACATTCACTATGCATTTCAAAAGCTCTATGATACAGATATGCATGTCTTCATTTTAGATT